ATAACCTCTTCAGTCAGTACAAGACTTTCCATTCACTGATACTGCATCTATATCAATACCAAGTGTTTCAGCTAGACTTCTCTATTTGTTATATTTTTTTTACTACTACTGAATAGTTTTACATCTGACCTAACACCTATCTGAAGACATTTTACATGTTTTCAGGAATGTGCTTTATCGTATGCACAGGGCCCAAAACAGGAAAAAAGGTTGTGTAGCCTGCTCACTGCCTTCCAGAGCTCCCAAGCAAGGGATCAGCATATCCAGAAATATGGGAGACAGCCCTTAGTGGGAAACAGACTCTTCTCCTCCCAGCTGAGAACCAGCATCCAAAACCTCTTCAGAAGCTATGTTTTCACTGGAGACTAGATCACTTCTCTACTTACAAACAGAAGTGATATTTCAGAAATAAAAATAATAATCTAAAAATATTTCAGAAAAAGTTACCTCCGGTTTGCAGCTGCACTCCTGGGGTTAAGTGAAGAAATTCTGGTTTATTACTAACTCTAGATCCACATATGAATCCAAAAACAAAATCTGAGTTGTCTTCAGCCATCTGTACCTGAAAAAGATCAGTGAATAATTAAAAATTATATACTTAAAACTCAGCTGGCCTTACAATCTGTTTCTCATCCACCCTCTGACACTTTAAGCTGTGTGAAGCAGGGGTATGAAACACCTCTTGCTTTTCCAATGTAAAGCCACTCCTCCCCTCTGGCAGAAAAGTGAATATTATGTTTCTTTCTATGTTATAAATAATACTGCAAATGGATTCAAACTAATTAGAAATGCACTACTTAAAGAAAGAAATGAAAAAACTAAGGGGAGAGTGCTACTAGAAAATGCAATATGTACAAGAATTCCCAGCGTGAACTCTGACCACCTCACATCACTGGCCTACAGCTGCAACCTTTAAACACCACACAGTCATGTTCCTGAGTCTCCAAGGAAAAAACAAACACCTGTAATAGTTAGAGCTGGAGGGACTTTTGGAAGTGCAAATATTAGAAACACATAAAACCTCCCTGTGACACTTTAAAAGCCTTTAACCCGACACAAGACTGCCCACTTACTGCAGCTTTTGTGTATTCACCCGTTGCAAGGGACCCCTGGGAACTCATCTCTGCCACCAGGAGACAGCCACGCTGGAGAGGGAGACCCACTTCCTTCAGGCCTTTCACAACTCCAGCGCCTGGAACCGCGTGGGCATTGACGATGTCTGCCCAGGACGCGATCCTGAACACACCACCTGAGAACAGGGCAGGAAGGCAGGCAAAGAGTTGTCAGAAATGAGGTAAACAGGGAGACAAGTTAGACAGAAACAGCTGCACACCTTATCACTGACATATTTAAAAGACAGTTTTACTGCTGAAGCTTGAGTGTTCCAAGTTCAGTCTCATCAGACAGTTCTGACAGCTGCCTAACCACCAAGCGTAATCTCAGTTTACCTTTCACAAACACTTGGTAGTGTCTCACCTTTAATATTTACTGAGACATTTATGGTAGCCCAGAAATCTGCTGTCACAGGTGCTTTTCTTCCCTGATAGCATGCAGACCATAAGGGGCATAAGGATCAGGAAAAGAGAGCAGCAGTTCTACAGCTGCAGATGGAGTATCAAAAGAAAGCCATGCTGGGCACACAAGCAGTACAGTAACAGCAGGCAGCGGTTTCTCATGGCACACAACTCAGAAGTACTTACTGAGCACAGCCACAGATTCATAAAAAAGTTGAGGTTGGAAGGGACCTCAGGAGGTCATGCCCTCTCAGCAGGGTTAACTTCAATGCTAGGTCAGATTGCTCAGGGTCTTATCCCCTTGAGTATTTCCAAAGGCTGGAGATTCCACACTCTCTCCTGGCAACCTGTGCCAGTACTGCAGTCACACACACCAGAAGCAAAGTTATAGTAAATCCAGCTTGATTATAATCACCTTCATATTGGTGTTTCACTGTGTTTCCAATATCTGCAAATTTCCTGTCTTCAAAAATCAAGAATTCATGTTGATCTGCGAGCGTTCTCAACTCCTTTACTACCTCCTGGGTGAAATCATTCAGGATGTCTACATGAGTCTTCAGGATGCAGATGCTGGGGCCCAGGGTGGCAGCTAGCTGCAGCAGCTCCTTGGGGCTGGTGACATCAGCAGAAAGGCACAAGTTTGTTTGCTTCTTTTCCATGAGCCTGAGAAGCCTGGCTGCAATAGGATGCACCCCTGGCAGCTGGGCACGAGCGCTGAAGCTCAGCTCCTTGCAGAGCCTCTTCACAGGAGCAGCACCATTCTGAGCCACTGCCTCAAACACATTTCCCTCTATGAATTTCTTCACCTTTTCAACCACCTCAGCAGCCACTTCTCCCTGCTGCTGGAGAATCTCCAGCACCCCAGACAAGGTGCACACAGAGTGCAGGCGAATTCCGTGTTCCTCTAGCCTGGCCTTCCCACCCTGCTCCCTGTCCAACAGCACTATGGCATCTGTGACTTTTAATCCTTCTTTCTGAAGAGCTTCTGCAGTTTCCAGTACACTGGATCCACTTGTTACCACATCCTCAATGATCAGGCATGTCTCTCCTGGATTAATGGTGCCTTCTACCATCCGCTTAGTACCTGAAAAATAAAAAGCAAACACTCCACCAAATTAAGAAAGGTCAGACGACCCAAAAAAACCTTAACAGAATCAAAACTTATCACAGCTCACTCACTGATCTGTAATTCAGTTCATAAAGACTGTTACTTCTCCAAGCTGATAAAATACTACTTTTATGTTTCCAGAAGTTATATTCCATAACAAAACTGATACACTGTTAACAGCACAAATTCAAATGTTTCAATAAGATGACTTCAGAAGTTTAGTACTGTCATGACTTGAATGCTCAGACTTACAAAATTATTCTCTTGTTATTTAAAACATCTTTAAGACAGCCAAGTTATTGGCACTCTTCAGCATGTCCCGTTTTCCACAGGCAGCACTGTTTGATATGCCTGTTGGAACAATTAGAAGCGGTAAAGCCTCAAGTGCCTTTGTCCTAACTAACAACAGGCACACATCCATGAAAGGCCTCCTGGGGGCAGCGACAAAGGGATGCCTGGCTTTCCCAGGAGCAGTTAATCGCTGTCACAACTGGCTTGTGCTTCACAAGAAGGAACAGCAAATGCTTCCACGGCTGTCCCACTGCCTGACACAGGAGCAGCTTTTAGTTTTGACAAGTGCACTATCTAATTACACACTGCTGGAAGAGGATGCGTAGAAATCCAGTTATATGGCAGGTTAATGCTTCAGTCTGCTCTCCCACATCCTTTGTCACAATCAAAGAAATGGTTGAGGAGAGAAGGATCTGCTGCTCACCTGGCTCACTGATTACAGGACCACAGCATAAGGAAAGAAAAAGGGGTTTGAGAGATAAATGAAGAAGAGACTAGAAAGGTTCCTTTTGGTGTCAATATGTAAAATGCTCTGTTTGAGAGCGAAATGTGGCTCTTGTCTCAGCATGCTGGAGAATCTGAGTTATAAATCCTCATTTCTGGATGACGCCACTAACCCAGAACATAGCAAGGGTAACAATGGAAAAAAAAAAAAAAAAGGACATTGCTAAAGAAAAGAAACAAACTCTACAAACAAAACCAAAGAATCAGAAAACACCCTTCAAGAGTCTCCAAATCTCCTACAGCAGGACTAAAGCTGCAGGCTAAAGAGCAACCATCTGGGAGAGGCTGATCAGGCAGGAACGCTGTAGGAGGTTTGCTTTAGCGCGGAAAGGGCTTCGTAGATTGCAATGGTAACCTTAAACTGGAAGGGAGATGCTGTGCCTTACAAAAGAACCACAAATTATATTAAGTCATTTCCCAAATAAGGTAAATTGCAAACTCTTGATTTGAAGGCTTTACCGTAGTCTTTTCCCTCCTTCCTCCGTATGAGCATGGGCACCTGATTTTCCGAGCAGATGATGGTGGCGAGCGGCAGCGCCGTGTACGGAACGCCGCACACACAGTCGTACTGCAGCCCCGCATCCTGGGCTGCCTGGAAAAGAAGTCCTGCAACCTGGAAAGGAAAACCAAACGCTTTTTAAGAGCCAGGCCGGAGCGAACGTGACTAAATCAGTGAACACCCCTCTGCTGACACGACCCGAGAGCCGACTCTGCGGGAGCCGCGGCAGCGCCGCCGTCCCCGCTGCCCCCGGGCCGTGAGGGAGCCGCCACCCCGAGCACACGCGGGGCCCGGGCGGGTCCGGGGCTCCCCGGGCCGCACCTGCCGGAGGAGCCGCGGGTGGGACACGAGGCCGCGCAGGTCGATGTACACGGGCGAGGAGCGGCCGCTCTTCAGCACGAAGTGCCCGAAGCGCAGCGCGCCCGCCCCGCTCAGCGCCGCCGCCACGGCCCCCGCGGGCCCCGCCGCCATCGTCGGGCCCGGCGCACGGAGATGATGCGGAGCGGGAGGGGCGCGGGGCGGGCACACGTGTGACACACGGGAGGCGGTCGGTGTGCCCGTCCCGCGTCCCCTCCCTGCGGCGGGAACCCCAGCAGCGCCATCCCGGGGTGCCTGTGCCCGTCCCGCATCCCCTCCCTGAGGCGGCAGCCCCTGCGCCATCCCGGGGTGCCTGTGCCCGTCCCGCATCCCCTCCCTGAGGCGGCAGCCCCTGCGCCATCCCGGGGTGCCTGTGCCCGTCCCGCATCCCCTCCCTGAGGCGGCAGCCCCTGCGCCATCCCGGCCCTGCTCCCTGAGGCCCGCGGTCCCCTCCACGATTCCCCGTTCTCTCGTCACCCCATTCTCCGGGAAGCAGAAGCCGCCGGTGCAGAGGGTTTGGTGTGACCCGAGGGTTTCTCGCCGTGCCGGCTCCCCGGGTGGTTCCCAAAGGCCGCTCGGTGGATGCAGCCAGGGTGGCAATCCCGCGGGCTGGGTCCCTGAGAGATCCTCCCGAAAACATGGGCTGAATAAAGCCCTCAGCCTGCCCCGAGTCTGCAAGGCCTCACTCAGAAAGATGCCACATGAGTGAAATAAGACTGACCCGGTCTTCTCTGAATAATTTTATTTAATCAAAAAAGCCCAGAAATGGAGTCTTGAGTATACTCTATTTATGGGAATGCAAGGACAGGAGATGTACAGGTTGAAGCTACATCTGTAGATGATCATATATACTGCAGAATAGTAACAACAACATGGGACAGCAAGTAGTCACCTCACAACAGTACACATGAGTGGTTAGACTTACAAAGGAAATATTTACAAACCTGCCTTTACAAACCAACACTGTGTGCATACAAAATGAATTCTGCAATAAAACTGAAGATACATTTAAGGCAGACCAGCAATACACTGAAATAATTAAGGCTGTGGAATTACTTTGCACCTTGAAAATGCTGAGCTGTTAGCAATACTGTTTCTTTTTTCCTCCTTCAGTGGATTGTTGCTAGGATTGAAAAGCATCAATACGTTCCAACTGTTTGCTCTTATCTTGGTGACTAAGTCTGAGATTGATCTTTTTTTTGCACTTGCTATTGCATTTGCTGTCCAAAAGTTATCAGCAAATTGACCCTAGTGGCAGAGCAGTGTTGAACAGTTTGGTAGAAAGAGAAGTAAAAGCACCAGCATCAGAAGTTGGACATGAAGGTGAAATATGGCTTGAGTAGAGAAGATGTTGGTTTTTCACTAGCTCCATAATAAAGACTACAGTTACAGCAAACATTCAGCATCCTGACGCTATGGAAACACTCAGCACTATACAGATCCCAGAACGAGAGTACATCACTTGATGGCAGTGTGCAGTCAGCCTAGTACAATGGGATTTGACTTTGTTTCCTTGGGAAAGCACCATTTTCTGATGGGACATGAGTGAATGACCTCAAAAATAAACCCAAGCCCTGTGTTAGAAGAGAATCCACCTCTGCTGGGAAAGGAACAAGAACAAAAAAAGGTGGTGAGCCCCTGTGCATGTAAATTTTCTGCTAGACCTTTATGTGCACAGAGAAGCCTTTACATCTGTCTCTGAAGTTTATATTATCCTAGGTTACTTGACACAGTCTCCCCTCATGGCAAGGGGATTCAAATAGGGTTATATATAGTCAGGTTATATTGTGTGGTTCTGCATTCAGCCTTTATGCACAGTATCTGTAGCACAGGCCTAATGGCATTGTCAGAAATGCCAAAGGCCTCCATGAAGCCACAGCCTCAGGGGCAGTTGAGGGCACAGACTTTGTCTCAGCATTAACTTAGAAGTAAAAAGATACATGCTACTGAAAAAACCCAATCCATAGTTTTTTTAAAAGAAAGGGCAGTAAGACTAAATGAAACTTGTTGGCATCACTGAGAAGAGAGAGACATATTATAAATTTTAAACCCTGGATTGCTTTAAAATACTGAAGTCTTCGGCCCTGGGCTGGCTGTGTGTCACCCCAGTAGTGCCATGCACGGGGGCTTGGCATCCTGGGGGTGTGTGGGGCCTCCCCCAGGGCAGCCACACCTGATGGGGGCTGGCACTTTACACCAGCCAGCAGAATTCCTGCCCTGGCCTGGCTGCTCCAAGTGGAGCAGAGAGAGAGGTGAGTTAATTGCTCATTGCACATTCATTAAATGAAGCCATCTTAAATAAGGAGCCCTCCATGTCACCACGTCCTCTGGGCTCTGTGTCACCAGCACCATTGCTGTTGCCCTCCTGTCTCCCAGCACCTGAGGACACTGTGAGCCACACTTTGATGTCAGAGCAGGGTAAGAGCACTGTGGAGATGTCTGATGGCAGTGGCTGTGTGCACAGTGCCACTCCACACAGAGCTTGTGGTGCACTGCTGTCAGGATTCCTGCTGGTCATCCTGGATAGCTGGAAGCTGCTGGAGAAGCAAAAGGGTGCAGCTACCACCACACTTTCAAGCCATCTTGGGAGCACCCTGAGTGGTACACAGCTGCAGGTGGAAATCTTCCCCTTGGGGTCAGATATTCTCTGGGGAGCTTCACTGAGAAACTGTGTTTGTTACAGACAGTATTTCATGCACTAAAAAAATCCAGTCAGCGGAGAATGCTCCACAGGGGGTTGGCTGTGGGGCTTCTCACTCAGCAGGGGCACTCCAGGCCTACTTACTCAGCTTCTGTAATCTCTTTACAATGCAGTTATAGTTTTCAACAAGAGTTACAGGACCTGTTGCATCTGCAGAGGCACCACAGGTTGGCTGAAAAAGACTTTGAAAGAGCAAAGTCAGGATACTTCTCTGCATTTATCAAATGGCAATATTACATGTCAGCTTGGTATTATTCAGGCAAAAGCAAGAATGGTTGGTAATCACAAATGTTTTATGGAAGTTTTAACTGGTTCAAGTATTCCTGAATGGGCTGTAAGAAGAATGGTGTCCAGGAAGAGGTTTTCTAACATGAATATGGAAAAAGCAAAACCACAAAAGAAAGTAACCCCAGAACATTCAACATCTTCAGAATTCAGCACCTCCAGCTCTCTCAACAAGGAGTCTTTTTTGAATTTGAGCACCAGTACCTAATCATATATCGTCTCTCTTTCAGCCCTTTGGGTTTTCTTTTCTGTTACTTGATAGCAATGAGAGGCTTAAATATTACCTTAAACAGTCCAGCTTTTTCCCCCTGTGCATTCAAAGGGTCTGCTGTTGTAGTTTGACATATGAATGCAGGATGTAGGAAAACAAAATGTTAAATAACTCCAAATTTCATGTGATACACGAGAATTTGTTTGTAATAATGCCAAGCAGAAAGCCTGTGGTTCAAACTGTACCCATGGGCCTAATAAAAACTGTGGGTTTTACAGACCGCACTTCCACAAACATTTTTTTAAGGGCAGCACAATCACAGCACAAAGAGCCAGCTTTGACAAATAGGAAGAATTACAGACAGTCCTGTAGTGAGAAAGTACCTGAGGCTGGTGGTAATTAGAGACCCCCCCTTGACTGCTGTCTGTATTCAGTTGGTAAGAAATTGCATACTTTGCACTGTTGCTCAGGATGAGAGTCTGGTCTTTATCTAAGAGGTGCTGCTGGATTGCTTAGAAAATCAGCTGCTGCTCTAGAGAGGAACTGAGATAGGTTCTAGATGATTTTCAAAAAGCTTAACCTTCTGTGAACACTTGTCTCTTTCAAACCTTTCCACACTCCCTCCCTGTGTTAGATCTCTCACAGAACTGCTGCTGACCCTGCTGAGGTGCCTGGGCTCACCCTTCTGCCCGTGTCTTCCCCATCTCAAGGGCTTTTCTTTGTTGCACACACTCAGTGTTGAGCACTGAGGGTTTTTGCTGTGCCTCTTCTCCACTAACAAAATACTGACCACTCTGGTGTGGTGATAGAGTGAGCACAAAGAGAAGGGCCAGGTCTCCTCCCTGCTGTGAAAGGGAGGTTGGAGGTGGATCAAAAAAGGGCTATCAGAGCCCTGAGAATTTAACAGTACTTACAGGGTATCTCCACCCCCCACTGGCAGAGACAGCACTTGCTCCTGCAGTCTCACAGTGCAGTTACTCAGATGGTAAATGAGATTTGACTCTCTCCCTTGCCAGAGAGTCTGTATGAGCACACGTGGTCAGATCAAGCCCTTTTCCTTAGGAAAACCTTTGGTAACAACTGCCATTTCCCATTACAGATACACAAATGCTACTCAGCACCAAGACAAAGTCCCTACATGCCAGGGGAAAAAATCTCTTTGATTATAACCCCACAAGGCTGTAGAGCTTCGTGGTGTGGCAGTAGGATGGGGAAGCCCCAGATGACTTCCCCTTCCAGTCCCATTTCTAGAAAGGAAGATTTGGCCAACCTACAAATTGCTGATTTGTCACTGCAGACTCCCTATGTTGGTTATACTTAAGGCTGGCTCCGTCACTGTAACATCAATATGATGATGTTGCAACTTGGCTTGCAAGAGAGAAATGTTTTAATTGTGAATATTATTTTTTTATTACAAATTAGGCTTTGGACATAAAAATATCCTCAAGAATGCTTTGGTTATGAGGTGCTAATGGTGGCTGAGAGATATTTACAAGTTTGGAAATGAAACAAATGACATGCTTTAAACACTGAAAACGATTTTCAAGATGTAAGCACAAGAATGAACTCACCACTCCTACTGCACTCTGAAAGGCTTAGATGGACTTTGGGCCAAGCAATTCTGAAGCTAGAAATGGAGCAGGATCCTTTATATTTATATATATTTATATCTATGATACAATATATGTATACTGAAAACCTGTGATAGAAAAAATTGTCTTCATCACCATCATCATCTAGTTTACAGATACTGCAAAAATTGGACTCTGCCTTTTCTCAATGCACAGGTTTTGCAAAAGATTTCTGTACAATGTGTATAAAATGCTTTTAAAAAACCCACCGTAGTCCCATTGTGCTTACTCAGAACCAGCTGTATGCTCCAGTGAATTCATTGCCTTAATCGTAGCTCTGAAAGGTGCTGCACGTTGACTTAACACAGCAGAAAGCCCAAGGAGGGGCTTCATGGAGGATTTTGGTCTGAGCACTGCCACGCAACCCGAGTGTTCCCTAAGCCACGCCACCATGGGAGCTGATCCAGCAGTGACTGGAGCCTGATCCTGCATGTCCTGTGCAGGCAAAGTCCCCACTGAGATCATGGCAGACCTGGGCAGATGGGGCATGAGGAATCTGACTGATAACCTGGAGCAGGCTTGCAATGATTTCAGCAAAAACTGACCAGTCCAGTTCTACAGTACGTGCTAAGGTCAGCCTGGTCTCACTCTCCCCCACTATCCTACTTCTAGTCTTTTGTACATTTTGAATTCAGTTCAGCAAGATCAAGAGGATTTCTTATAAGGCTGCCTCACAAAGATTAAGGCAACTGCAATTTTGGCTCTCATTCCCAGTTGGTGTTTGCTTCCTGCAGTCCTTTTTTGGCAGTGGATGTGTCCCTCACATGCCCCGAGAGAGGGAGCGTGTCCCTGCTGCTGTCACCCCCTTTGCCTGGGTCCCATTGCCACGTCTGCAGTGATTCCCACCCTGCAGTTGGTGAAATGCAAACGCCGAACACAGGATATGTACAGACGGATCCGCGCGCTCCCGGCGGCGCTCCCGGCACGGGCTCAGGAGCAGCAGCGGAGGATGCCATGGATGGAGGCACTACGTGCCCGGGCTCATCCTGCTCAGCAGGAAGCTCTTGACACTGGGCACCGGGAGCACGTCGTACTGGTGCCTGCGGCGCTCGATGAAGGACGCCAAGCGGGAGGTGTCCAGTGGGATCTTGGAATAGCTGCCATTGTGCGGCTGCAGCCACGGATGCTGTAAACAAGTGGCTGCTGTTGGCCTTCTCCTGAAGTCTTCCTGGAGGATAACGTTGATGAAATCCCTGGCGGCGTGGCTCACGTCGGAGAAGTATTCGTGTGGGAAGCTGAAATCCACTCTACACACATTGATGCAAGTCTCCTCTTTGCTTTCATCCAGGAACGGAGAGACACCGCTTAACATGACGTAGGTGAGGACCCCAATGCTCCAGATATCCGTGCTCAGGGAGACAGGAAGGCCTTGGATAACTTCAGGGGCTGCGAACTCCGGGTTTCCAAGGAGGTGGTGGACATGGTAATGACCTGTGATCTGAACTGCATCTTCCAAATCAATGATCTTGACACGAGGCACTGGGATTCTCAAATCTATGAGCAGATTTTCTGGCTGTTGAAAAGACAATGAAATAAACTTAATCATAACTATATTTTGGCAAATAAAATGTGTATGATTCATGTAGGATGTAGGCTTAACAGCTAATCAAAACTTGCAGTTAATCAGATGTGCAAGGGAGAGATCAGGAGAGTGAATGATAAGGAACCAGCTCAGCTGCTGTTTGCTCTAAATTCACATCAATGCTGCAGTCACAATGACAAGATCCTCCTTTGCATGAGGGCAACACACTGGGATTTTGCACTTTGTCCCAAATATTTACACTTTATTTTTCCAAACAAATCTCTACAGATTAAGAGCACTGACAGATTTTTAAATTTTAATAAGATATATATATCTGATCAGTTTATTTAGATTCCATTTGTTCAGCTAACAGCTGGCTAAGTAAGTGTGCATAATTTGCAGCAGAAATGTTCCTCATGAAGTGTTCAATTTTGCACCCACTACCCTGGGAGGGACTGGTATGTGCCATTTACTGTTGCTGTCAATTGACATGGAGCTGCCAGTGTTCCCCTAAAAACACCAGGACACAGTCATGCTTTCCAAGACAGAGTAAAATTATTTAATCCCAATTAGTTTTCTCTGTTTTAGCAGCTCTCAGTATTTAAGATCTCTCAGTGAGAGATACTGAGCATTGCCTGTACACACTCTTCTGGGGACTTAACATGGGTTATCCTTCCTTTGTTGGCTCTGAGATGATTGCTGAATTTACTTCTTGCACCCTTCTAGATGTTTTTTTCTCTCCCTTATCCTCATGCATATTTTACTGCTACCTCATGGCATACATATATATATATATATAAAAAGCAAAGTTATCTACATGGCTGTTCCAGTCTCTTCACTTGCTCTTCTCTTGTGCAGTCTCTATTGACAAAATCAACACATCCTTGAGCAGGATCCTGGGACAATACTAATCCATGGACAGGTCTGCTGTCACTACCAGTGCACCTCCTGCTTCCAACTTAGCAACAGAAGGTGCTTTATTTAGCATCCCTCATTCAGGGGAACTGCAGAGAGGTCACAGAAAATTAGCCTTCTACCTTGTTTCTTTGTTTATGATCATTGCAGTTTCTTACCTCAGTAAAACCTACTTTTTGACAGGTCATATAAACAGAGCAAAAAATACAAACAATTGCATAGAAAGAGACCAAGATGATTTAGCCTTTTGTGTCTAATTCTCATATAAGGTCCTGTACAAATGGAATTTTTTTGTAGGGGTGGAGGCAGCAGAAGAATGAATGTGTCATTTCATCTGACATGCCTGGGGCTTAGAGAGATGAGAATAAATCTCCCTGAAGCTGGATTGTCCACTAGATAAGAAAGTTAAATTCATTTCTCATTCCCCATTTTTAATTGTCATTTAAGTCTACAAAGTGTTATAGATTATCTGTTATCCCTGGCAACCAGAATCAACGTTGCAGATCACAAAACTTGAAACACTTGATCACAATTTCAATGGCTAATTCTCTGTCATCCAAGGTAACTGGGATGCTGGGGAGGACAGGAGTACAATGCTAAATCCAGGATAGTACAGTGCCTCCTGCCATGTGTATTCACAAAAGCAGGTACAAGCTGTACTGGTCTAAGTGTGACATTAGAGAATACCCCAATTTCTTCTCCACAGTGCAGCCTGTCCTTTGTTCCTCCTCTGAACCATTCCCTGGTGTATTTCCCACCCAGTTCCCCTCTCAGGCTGTCCAGCACAGTGTAGTGTGCTGCTTTCCTTTTCCTTTGCCCCTGCCAGCCTGGCACAAGCCAGCTCTGCCCTGGAAGGTTGGTGGCTGAGTTGGCACAGTGTGAGCCCAAACTATACTCCATAGAATTATCCATAGTTTCCCTTCAGACAGGTGCTAGTGACATCTCACTCTTGTCTCTCTGACATCCTCCTTCCCCATCATTAATTAAGTCCAGAAAGCTCTTGGGGACAAACCAGTGAATCAAAGGAAAAGGTGCATTTCTTGTCTGAAGGCAGAGACCTGGTGCTGCAGGTCAGTAACTCCTTTCTCTGATCAGCAGCTTGTCCATTTAGTGATCATCTCCATGGGGTACGGGCTGCACCTCCTCCCTGTCTGTACAGCTGGGAACTCTCTGTTCCAGCACACATCATTCTCATTCTCAGAAGAACAGCATCATTCTCATTTGTTCCTACCTTTATGTCCAAGTGAGCCACTCTGCAGTTGTGGAGGTACTGCAAGGCTTCCATTGTGTCTCTTATATAGAAGGCCACCTTCTCCTCCATAAGCTCATCGTGGTTCATCAGATAATCTAAGAGACGGCCGTCATCCATCCTGCAAACAAACCAAACCCTGTGCATGAAACATCACATGGCACCTCTAGGAACAGTTGATATCTGAAAACAAAATTGCAGCAGAAATTTTGTGACCTAAAAAAGGGAGGAAAATAAAATGCAAGATCTGATGAGTATTTAATGATATCTCAAGATACTGCAGGCCATGAAGTGGTAGAATGATTAATCCTCAATTGTTATCTCCAGTCCTTGACAAATTTAGCAACAGTCTTAAATTAAACTCATTTGCTTAAGGATAGATTCAATAGACAGAGACAGTCCCTTTGGAAGCAGAACTTCTTAATTATTTGGATCCATCTATTTATTTATAGAGCTGGTTACATAATTGCAGGAAAAAATCATTGATATTTTCAGCTGGTAATATTTTCTGTGGGAAAACTAACCCAATAAAAGTTTTTCACCTAGTTTATTTATCTGTACAAACAAACAATGAAATAGTCCAGATATACTTTGTTGGATATATCATAACAAAGCATTTTGGAGTTTGGTTGCTGTTTCTTCTTACGGGACAAGCACGGCTGCTAAACAGGTCTTTTCACCAAAAAGCATTAGAATGATGAAGGCTTTGATCTAGCTAGTAAACAATTTTACTCAAATGTAAAAAGTGGACAAAACTGCCCAAGTAGGTCTGATGCTTTTCAGTGGCACAAATGACCCAAGCTTCACCCAAGTAGAAAGCAGTTTTATTTGTCCCTCTTAATCTTACTTCCTGTAAAGAAAAGGCAGTGCAAGCTCTGCAGAAAATGGCTATTTAATTTGACATCTGAATCCATAAAATCTCGTTCCTGCTGAACTCAGGGTGATCTTTATGCTTGGCTTTAATAAGATTCCTATCCAAATCTTAAATCCAAGCTCTGTGTACTTACAGTTCCAAAACTAAGATGTAAGAAGTAGGAGACTCGTAGGTATCGTGGATAGTGATGTACTGAGGATGCTGTAAGTGTTGTAACAAAGCTGCTTCATGTGCTGCCTGCTCTTTCTTTTTCATTTTTTTACTAATGAATTTTACAGCAACATCTTTCCGGGTGGCTTTGTGGACACATTTCTTTACTATGGAGAATCGACCCCTGAAATTATAAAGAAAACAAAATACTGAGGTGGCTTTGTGAATAAATCATGCCTAGTTTTTAGCACAATAACACAGTGATTTTTGAAGTGGTTTTTTTGATTCATCACATTAATATTTCACAAGGCATCAGATTTAACAAGTTGTTCATAACCTTTTCCAACAAAGGCCCTCTGTCTCTTACCCTGGGTGTAGAGATTCTTTGGGGATTAGCAAACACTGAGAGCAAACGGTGTCACTTTGCTTTGTGCAGCCACACTGATATCCTATAACAACCTCCCCTGGGTTCAATTTGCTGCCACTTTTACAGGTTCTATCTCCTTTTATTTTAGCTGTGGGTCTCCCTTCTCCAGCTGTTTTATTAAAGAGACCAAACCTTCTCAAACAACTAAAAGAAAACCCATGTTAAATAATCACCAACCTACCATTTTGTCTCATTTTTTCAGAAACACAGTAAGAAATAAAGAAAAAAGCTATCAGGAAAGCATTTAGGAAACTCCTACAGACCATAGTACCATTCCTGAAAGTAAAACTACCCAGTGAAACCATGTAGTGAACTTGAGCTCTTAGTAATACATCCCATTTTTCTACAGAACCAGAGGGACTCCTGTCCTTTCAGCCCCCGACTTGTCTCTGATATCTGAGCTGAAGAAATAATTGCATTAACCTGAATTATTTGCATGCCCCTTATCTTTTATCTGTGGACAGCACGAAGGGCTGACAACATGTGCAGCTCCTATTTAGGCTCTGTTCAACTCACCCTTCCAATCAGCAAAGATAAGTCAGTCACATGCCCAAGTGTTTTGGCAAACTCAGTCTTTGGGGTTAAGCTTATCCAGGACCAGTAAATTGTCATCACTTCAAAACAGGACCTCAAATCTGAGATGACAGAGAAGATACCAACTGCCAGAGAGTTGGCTGCCTAATTGCTCACCAGTTTGCCAATCTGCAATTCTCAAATCAGAACTTATCTTGAAAAACATAATTTATTCAGTATTTTCATCAGTATCTGATATGCAATGCTCTTTGACAAGAGCAGCAGTTTCCAAGCTAACTACAAAGTAACCTAAACTCCTCACCAAGGAAAAAGCTTCAAGCCACCGTTTGAGTGTTTTATTGCAGTGATAAGCAGGGTTAGTATTACCTCCCAATCTCATGCAGCTCTGCATAGGCAAGGTCAAAGTTTTCCTTCCATGAAATAGTGGCACCATCAGCAGCAGAGTCTTTGAGAGAACAAAGAATATGGAAGAAGGTATAAAAACAGCTTGCTGTGGACTATAAACAGCATATTTGAAAATTATGTGAGACTTTATTATTAACACAGGAAACATTATCACTAGGAGTCCAGTTTCCTACTTTCCAGTGTGCTGGACCACTAAATGCCAGAGCTCCCCAGGGGAAGGTATGGATAAGGGGGACACAAAACTGTCCTTGCAGTTTTGGGCTGAAAAGGGTCACAGAGACAGGGGGTAGAGCTATGTTGTGTGAGCTCTTGCTCCTTACAGCACCAGCTGTCCAAGCCAGTCACAGACCTAGCTTCACACCAGGGCTGCTAAAACATGGGGAAAAGTGGGCTCTGCTCACAGCACTTGAGAGTGAGCTGTGCCCCAAATTCCTGCAGCACTGAGTGCTTGGGAATTGCCTCCATCACAGCATTCCCATTCCAGCTGCATTGCTCAAGGGGAGATATATAGCAAGCGGAATTGCAGCCCCCATCTGGGCTGCCCACCAGAAGCTGCAGCTGTTGCTAACATTGCTGAAAAGGCATGAGAGACACCAGCCAGGACATGCAGCCCACTGGGCAGAGATAAAGACAAGAAATAGTTTGGTATAAAAAGGAGGAACCTGTTTAGAATCTGCAATAGCCTCTGTGGCAGAGGCAGGCTCTGAGCCTGGACAGAGGTAAGGACATGAAAATCCTTTCTGGGGCCAAGAGCTAGCTCTGAGCACCTCCCAGGCTTTTTCTTACATCCCTAGTTGGTCCAGGATCCCTGCTTTTATCAGGACCCATCCAAACAAGCCCTCCAGAGCACAGGTGGGTTCCCGTGTGCCTCATTCCCTGCAGCCGCACTCACCGTACTCCGGGAGCCGCACGAACTCGGAGGGCTCGCTGGGCAGGCTGATCCCCCAGGGGTTGCTGGCACTCACTCGGAACTGGTACTGGCAGCCTGGGGACAGGTCCTCAATGACCAGGTACGTGTCCAGAGTTGAGGCTACTGACTGCTGCCAGACCTGCGAGCCTGTTGGACACAGGGAGAGAAGGGGAGCTGAGGGCAGCACTCACTGTGGGAGCTCAGGGCTGAGGCTTCCTCTGCCCAGCTTAGGCAGTACCCTGGGAGGGTAAAATCTACAGGCTTTTTAAGGGTGGTACAGCAGACTGTTAAACCAGAAATGGATCACAAGAAGCTATTTTGTGTTGCAGCCACCTTCCCATCTGGCTAAATGAGAAACGATGGAAACGTCCCTCAGTTGACTCAGGATAATGATGGAAAAAGTTCAGCCCAGGGACAAGCTGATCTCTCCAGCACTGTAGCTGTGGCTGTGAGCTACAAGTGATGTCTCAGGGCAGTGTGATAAGACAGAAGGGGAGGGCTGGTTAGATGACAGCTCTGTTATGAAAGAAACAGTAGCAGAAATACTGCGAGAAACCCCAAAACCATGGGCAAGGGAGATAAAACTGAGACAGAGCATCAGTGCAATCCAAATGCTTTTGCAGATGAAGATGTGGCAGCTACAGTGAAAGCTGCAGCTGCAGGAGGAGAACCAGCTTTCTGACACTTAACACAGGCAGCTTGCAGGTGAGCAGAACTGCAGCAAAGAAATGTGTGACTCTGTCATGTGTTTCTGCTCATGTCAAACCCAGCCACTGCCTAACCTGTGACAACCAAAGGACCAGTACAGGATCAGAGAACAGAAAATGACCCCTGGAACACAGAGCCCTGTCACAGATGGAGATTTCTTAAAGAATACGTAACATTTTATCTTATTTTAGTAAGTTCAGGGCATTTTACCCCTATGTTATTTAACATGACCCAATTATTTTGTGTGTCCTGTGGACAGATTCTAATTTCCAGGTTTTACAAAGTCATGGCTGGTTTTACAAGGGTCAGTTTTTGTTTTTTTTTTTTAGTTTTGGTGGTTGTTCTTAATAAAGGAATTTTTGTTCTTTTACAAAAATGCCAATCACTGATGGCACAGTGAGGGTCAAGATAAAATCTTCACTAGGAGAAGGCGTTAGGTTTGCACACTTACTAAAATGGGGTAGGATTTTTTGAAGGATAAAGGGGGAAAAACAGAGGCCATATGCCTAAGGCAGGGTTTACTGCCAGGGACCCTCACACCTTTGCAGGAGGAATGCAAAAAGGGATGTGAATCATTTCAAATGCCCTTTTCAAGAGCATATGCCTGTGCATATTGGGAAAACAGTGCATTTAATATCTAGCTAATTCTTCAGGGGAAATGGATGGTTGGATTTAAGAAAAAATGGATTTCAGAGCTGAGCTTGAAAAGTATGCAGGGATCTGCAACTTTATCCAGATCAAAAAAATAATGAGGCTGATTTGGTTTTGGTTTTGTGTTTCTGGGAAGCACCCACCAGAAAGGATGGTGGTAAAATGCAGATGATAAAAAGATGCCTTAGTGATGGATATGTTTTACCTTAGCACACTTTACTTGTTGTAAGGGACCAAAATAAAAAGAAAGGTCTGTAATATATGAGAGGCTGGACTGGATGATAGAAGGGCTTCTTTCTGCCTTAGACTTTGAGATCTGTAAGCTACAATTAGTGGCACACCAGTGGTGACAAGAATGCTTTTGGGACCTGTTGTGTCATAAAGGAAACTTACCTTGTTCTCAGTCTCACAGCCAGCAAGCCCAGCTCCCACACTTACCTTCTTCTCTGTACTCCACAGTGTAGCCTGAAATGGTGCAATTGCCTGTACTGGTAGGGGGTAGCCAGCGCAGGATCACAGAGGTGCAGCTTCTCTCCTGAGCAATGGGGCGGTTTGGGGCAGCTGGCACACCTTGGGAAGAGGAAACAATACCAAATCCAGCATCTCATCAGTAAGTGCTACTGCTTTATTCTGAAGATCTGGTGGATCAGGTGCATCAGGTCACTACAGGAGAGCAGCACCTTGTAGAGGGGCTTAACTAAGCAGCAGGTGAGGAGTCAGCTACCATGGAATGCCCAAAGATGACAGAAGCAAGGCATTCAGAATTCTTCTGTGTGTAGGGTGCTTTGTGTGCTTGGGACCAGACTGACAAACAGCCAGTAATCCTCTGTGCTTTGCTTAGGGCTCCCTTCAGCACAGGAGTAGTTAGTGCAGCAAGCCAAGTGACTTGCTTGGATAAATTGGGGAAATTGGATCTCCAGGGTGGTTTGTGAGACCAAATAAATCAGCTTTTAAATGCTTGTGACATTGCTGCATCTGTAACTCTCCAGTTAGACATTCATCTCTGCACCATCCCCTTCAACACAGCTGGCACCTCATCTCTAGTGCTAACAAATCCCTTCTCAGAGCTGGAGGCAGTGAGCATCAACTCATCATTTCCTGTTCATTCCAATTAGATGGGTCACTAATTACAGTGCTGAGAATTCAGGCTTGGAGACATGTCACCAAGTTGAATCCCTGAAGAACAGTTTCACCCAGGCTAAATCTTACTCTCACCTCCTTTGTACCCTAAAGAGAAGGGGAGGCAGAAAATCGGTGTCACTGGATCCCAGTTCCTCCCACTCCAGGCAGATTCTGAAGCCCAGAGCTTCCTGCAGTCGGTTGGGGCATCGTTCCCCCAGGGACTCAGCTGCCCAAGGGAGCTGAGCTTCCCCTGGCTGACCTTGCTGAGCTCCTGGGAAGCAGCACTAGGAGCAGGATGCAGGAGCTGAACCCTTGCCAGTGCATTTTCATTTCCCAAATGTGATGTTTATGGTCAGATGACTTAATCAAGCACAAGGAGTATGCAAAGCCTTCAGCCATCAGTGGGAGTTGTGGCTGAGGAATGGTGGTATGACTTTAATGTGCCAATTCACCTGGCACAGCTCCACATCTGCCTGCCTCTGCATGGCTGTTCCTGTCTGCTGCCAGCCCCCAAGGGACCACACAGAGGAAAATCCCATGTGTTAAGGTCAGATGTGCTACCTTGGACTTTGATGGTTGCAGAGGTTGATGCAGTTCCATGTTCATTGGTGGCCACACAGGTGTAGATGCCGCTGTCCTGAGGCATCAGGTTGCAGATCTTCAAGGTGAGCTCTCCTGAGTCACTGTGGATGCAGGAAGCCCAAGTTATAAAACACTGCTTCACTTGCTAATGGTTTTTATACAGTTCCTGCCCTGCCTCACTGCAAACAGACATGCACACAAGTCCTGTTAACTCATTTGAAGGAACATCCCTCCAGCAATTTGATGCCCAAGTACAACCCCTTCATATGTCAGGGTCTGGCTGTTTTTGAATCCCTTGAGCAAACCTTTGGTCCAAATTGCCTGCCAGGCAAATCCTCATGTCTGTTGTGGTCTAGGAAGAGATGTGAAGGATCACTGAAGCAGCAAGCAGTCCAGGAGTTAAACACTGCCTGTCCAGAGCTGGATGCTTAGACTTGGTATATCTGGAAAGATTTACCCATGAAGATCTTTCCTGTCATGGGAGATGGTGAGCTGCTGTGCCTCTGCAGTGAAGTCCAACACACACCAGACACACTGGGCTTCCCACAGATGCAGGAAGCAGTCACACAGCACAGGGTGACATTTCCAGGGAGCTTCAGAGCCCTGGAGCATGTGCCATTGATCTGACACTGCTGCCAGGGCCCCAGTTGGAAGACTGAATATCTCATAGCAGCCAGGGATAAAGAGCACAACACTGAGTTCATGAGACACACTCAGTCTTTGGGCCAATCTGAGAAAATAAACAGCTCTGTGCAGTCTTATGAATTTACAGCAGGTCTGTTCAGAGTCACTGCTGTTTGCACACTTCAGTCTCCAATATGCAATTTGAGGGAGCTGGCCTGAATTAAAGGATTTTGCTTGTGTAACTGGAGACCCAGCTTAAAGCCAACAATAAGTTCCCTTGATGGCAAAACTAGGCTAGCTCTTGAATGCTTAATCTGTTGGGTACTGCAGAAAGACATGATTGCTGGGATAACTGTCTGGACTCTGCAGCTTCTGCTGGTCTGACAGTGCTGGTTTAAAACAGGACAGAAATATCCCCTCTCCCTGAAACCCACACACTCGTGCCAGCAAGATTTGTAAGAGCCACTGATCCGCTGGGCCTCTGCTTGGCAGGCAGTGTCTTCACTGGGAGGATTATTTGAGTAACAAGACAATGCAAGTGCTGATAGTGCATGGGGAGCCAACAGGAAGAGGACTGTGATGAAAACCAGAACCCTGTATGGAAATATCCCCCCATCCCAAGCCCAGACAGAGGCTGAAGATAAGGCACTAGATCTACTGAGCAATAGCTAAAGACAATTTTGGATGCTCTGGGGCAGCTGCACAAGCCAATGGTCTCTGAAGGAAGCTCTTGATCAGATGTAAGGGGTTCTTTTATTGAACATGTAAAATCCCTTCTCTCTTACTGTTCTTTTTTCACTTTCAGTGACTTTGTACTCCCTGGATTCATTTCAGCCTGTGCCAGAAGTGCTGAAAAGTTGAAATGAAAGATTGCCTCCTGGAGATTTCCACTGCAGTTTGGCCCAAATTTCTTATATAAGCTGCAGATGAGCATCCAGCAGCAGGCTGTTACCTGACCTGAATTCAACTCCAGATCTTTCTGAATCTTCCCATTTGTAAAGATAGTTTTCCTCTCTGCTAGCCAAGCCAGGAACATTATGACAAGCATCTTTCTGTCCAAGCCAGATGCAGCCTTCCCAGAGCACATCTGGGCTTTTTTAGGAACAGCTGAGGAAAGGCTCAGGAAAACTGCAACCCCACCACTGCCAATAAGATGAGAAAATGCCCAGTGACAGGAGTATTGCAAGCTGGTGAGGGCTTGCTCTGCTTGACTCCCACAGGAGATCAAGGCATCAAACTGAAGCAGAGAAGCCCCAGCAGAGGCAATGCCAGCCAAACTAATGGCTTGTAAACATTCTGGCTTCTGGCTTGCCACTGGCTCAGGAAGTCAACGGGAGCAAGGCCACATCTGCCAGCAGCACTTTGTGGATATACCCTACACCAGCTTGGGAAACAAATACAGCCACCCCAGCCCTAAAGCCTGACCCTTTCCAGCCAATGTTTGCCACACTGATGTGCTGACAAGCCATGCCACACTTAATTAACTGCATCCTAATGAGTCTTGTAGGCAGGCTGGTGCCATATTGGAGGGTAACACAACCATCAGGACCAGCTATGTTGGGATCCACAGGCAGGACCTTACCAGGATGACATGGTGTAAGTGGCTGTGCTGTTGTCATTGTCAAGAATGTTTTGGTCTGGTCCCTTCCAGGTTATAGTTGGTTTGGGTCGCCCACAGACCTTGCACTGCAGCATCACTGTGTCCCCAAGCAGGCAGGTGATGTCCACTAATGGAACAAGAAACTCTGGAGCCACTGTAAAAAAAAAAACATGGGGACACACAAACACCACCTTTAATCTTCAGGTGAGGCTGTCTAGAGTCATACAAGGCTAGAGAATACATTATAGGATGAACTATGGGATCTGGGTCCCAAACAGCTGGGAGTCCTGGGATTGTGTCCTTGAAATTGCCCTCCAGTAAGAGCCAGCTCTCTACAGCTCAGAGAAGGAGGTAGAGGGGAGCATCCATCCCCAGCCCTGAGCTCTGACAGGTGGATGAGGTTTGAGAGGGCACGTTTGGGGATGGTACTGTTTGGGGGGTTCAGGCTGGCCTGTGGCCCCAGGCTGGCTGAGCCCAGCTCTGCTTTGCCTGGGGTCTGAGCAGCACACAGCTGCCTTAGCTCAAATGCTGCCAGGTGCAGAGCATGCTGTGGCACCAAGTAAATCACAACTGCCAAACAGCTGTCCTCAACTCACCTTCTTGGATGAAATTGGGGTTGATTATCTGAAAAATACAAAGAGACACAAGCATTTATTTCCTAGACAGTGACAAAGAAGCATCTGTTTTCAGAAGGTACCATGGTGACTCTGACCAGAACTGCAGAAGTGCTGCAGTGGTAACAAGTGGCACCTTCTAACAACCAGCAGGTGCAGCAAGTATAGTGATAACACACATGGGAAAGTAAATGAAAGCTATGGCTTCTTGAACCCTGGAAAAGCATCAAAGGCAACAGGCACAGCACCAAGGCTGAGGAGGATGGACATGCTCTTTGTCTATGTGATAATGATGAAGCCATTAACTTCCCAGAGGTGGTTTGTGCACCCCCTGTGCCTGGCTCCAGACCTGTGTCACACAGCACCTGCAGTCACCACACACCTGGGGCATGTCACCAGCACTCTGCCCACTAACCAGGTCTGAGGAAATGTCTTCTAACTTGTGCTGAGCTTCAGGAGAAAAAAGGTAAAGCACTAGACCATAAATACTTCATTTTGCCCACTGTCAAGCATCAGTCCTGCAACAATTCTTGGTCTATTAACATGAGTGAAAATTTACTATTGGACTGTTGGAAACTTTCCAGCTTGAAACTCGGTTTGGACAGCTAGGAGTTATTTTATCTAACTAGTTAATTGACCAAGTTAGCAAAGACTTGAAAAGCTACTGTTGCTCTGTGGTCTCTATGTGCCAATGTAACTCTGGAAGCAAAGTTGGAAAAAGCAAAGACAATTCCACTGAGTTCTTACAGAATTGATCCTAACTACATTGTAGTATACAATAGTATAGAGGTTTTAGCCTCATTAACTGTTTTAATAATCTCATAAGGCCTTTTTATTCAAATTCAATCTAATAATTTCATGTTCAAGCCATTTCATGTTCAACCATAAACACCAATGTGGTTTATCTTGCCTTAAATATTTCTGTTGCTATTTATTTCAGAGCTATTTCGGAAGATGCCAATGAAGCAGTGACCTAATTCATGGCAAGCTGATAGGAGGTTTTTGCAGAGGCTCAGAAACCAGGCCACAAAACAGAAGCAATAACCCTTCAAAATAAAGTAGATACATCTTCAAGATTTATATTTACATTTTGGCTTTATATATAGTTTTCCAAGGTCGATGGCTCAGGGTGCCATTCAAGGAGGCATTTGGGTACATTCAGGTTCATTTTGGTTTCTTTGCAGCCACAGAAAGGACTCTGTGCTTTCCCCTGCCACCACCACAAAGCCCAAATGAACCAGGCATAACAGGGAAAGCACAGAGTCCCTCTGAAGGCTGCAGCTGGGCCCTGCCACAGCACATGGGCCTGCCAGCCCAGGGTGTGGGGAGCAGCTCCAGGACCCACACACAGCCCCTGGACCCTGCAGGCAGGAAGAAACTGTGGCACAGTGGAGTGCTGGATGGAAAACATCCTCTGTCCTGTCTGTGCAGGTGAAAAAAAGAGATGGACCTTTGTGATTAAGCTGTATCTCTCACACAACACAGCAAAGGAAGAAAAAGCTGTTTTGTGGATAACCTTTGCTTGCCACTTTCACTCACAGACACCATCTACTTTTCAGCTGAATAACCCCAGGCATTGGCTCATTTGCACATACATCTTCATTTTTTGTGCTGTTTGGCTTAACTGAAATATCCTTTCTCCAAAGCTCTCCCCTTCCTTCCCTGCAGCATGCACTAAATTCCCTTATTATTCACTGATCTCCATCCCTGCAGGATTAGAGATCAGGAGAAAGAAACACTAGTTAACACTTTATATTAATTTTATTACTCTAAAGGATTCATTAGAAGATGCAACTACAATGATGAATGTAATAGATATCCATATAAAGAAATAATTCTACATTTCTAGTGACTTCCAAGGTACAATAATTTATAATAATTGCCTAACCATTTTTTTTTCATTGCCTCACCATGGGAATAGCAGAAAGAAAATTATCTCTGCAATGTACTATTGGAAGAGTCTGTGGGTAAAATTTACATTTTCTTTCCCAAAGCTTCATCTGTTAATTAATCAAATGGTACCTAACAACACCCCCACAGCCACAGCACAGCTTTAGCTTGCTGTAAGCTTAGACAAAAATAAAAGTCTGTCTACATGAAAACATTAAAGTGATTTAATACAGCACCTTATTAGGGAATGGGATTTCTTCTGCTTTGAAGGAGGGTGTCAGATGATGGGGCGAGAAGGGCAGAAATGGGAAAGCAAAGGTTCACAGCCAGATGTGCATCCAGGGGCCGGCTCGGTGGTTCACACATCTGCTCCCAGGCCCTGGGGTTCTGCTGCCTCTCCCTGCAGGCTGGCCAGGGTCCTGGGCTCTGGCTGGATGGCAGGAGGTGGCAGCCTCCACAGAGTCCTTCCAGATAAAGTGCAAGATCTTTGGAGACAATTTCTTCATCTGCCAAATAGGTCTGTAATCCCCAGGGGTGGAGAAGGGGAGCTCCAGAGCGTGTCCTCACTGCCTCAGAGGATGGGAGCTCATGTGCTGCTTCTCCACACAGCCTCCTGCTGCTGCCAGGGCTGGATCTCCTCATGGATACACCTGCCCACCCCTTCTGCAGCAGTTTGAATGAGGATCTCACAGCCCAGCCCTCAGCTGAGCACCTGTGGCCACGGTGGCCATGAGCAGGGGAAGGTGGCCCAGGGTTTTGTGCTGACAAGGGCAACGTGAAGAAATCCCAGCACAAACCTCTGCACCAGTGTGGCTGTGAGAGGACAAACTCATGGGGATGGAAGCACCCAACACAAGAAGCTCTCACTCCATCTTCAGTGTCAGTCCACACCATGCAAATACAAACCCTAAGGGGATCAAACTCAGTTTGCACTGCATGTAAGAAACACAGATGTGCTCTTTTTCCTTGAAACATTAATTTTAATTGAGATGAGGTAGATTTTTTTTTTCTAATTGAATGAAATACCTGTTGCATGGCCCAGAGCAGGTTAAAATTTCTCCCCACTGTGGCCAGCAGAGTTTGTTTCCCATATGGTGACAGCTGAAAATGGGAATCCTACGCAAGGTAACAAAAGGCAGAACATGAAATGGCCTCTGCTCAACTAATTTGGGGTCTAAAACTGACCAGGCAAAGCCAGGCAGCTGGAGGAGGGGGGGTTGAGATAAAGGAATGGGAGGACAGGTCAGAGCTATTCAATAAAAAGCCAGAAATAGATCTTGCTTGTCCCTCCTCCAGCCTGCACTGTTTTAGGGCTCAGACCAAGACAGGCACATAAGGCACACACTTGGATGCCTTTGGGGGCCTGCAGGGATCTAAGTGACTTACATCTAGGTCAATTAAGTGTAACTTAACAGTCAAGCTTTAGAAAAGTAGCATGGGGGCCTCTCCAGAATCTCAGTATTTTGCAGTATTTTTCCTGCTCTGTTAAGCTTATAAGGATAGAAAGGCATCTGCATCAGTAGCTGCAAAGCCCATTTGCAAAGTGACTCTGACTGCCCTAATTCTTAGCACAACCTTATCTTTCACTTGTGCACACATGCTTTATCTGGTGGGGAGGGAGAAGCCATCCTGCCACGCCAGTGGCCAGTCCCAAAACGCTCTGCAAACACAGCTCAGCTGCCTGGGAGGGTTCTCACCTTGGCCAGGGTTTGTTTCTCCAGTGCAGGGGGTCCTTGCCATGCCTACCCCACTTCCTTGGAGGCATTACATCCAGCCCAGACACACCAGTGCACAGAAGGGCCCAGCAGATGCCCAGATTTTTCCAGTGCTGTGTTTCAATCCCATTTTAAGGGAACATATCAAAACCAGGAGTGAGAATATTACTTTTTCCCCAAAGCATAAGAATAGTCTGCAAACCAAGCCCTCTGTAACAAGGTCGGTGCTTCACCTAAACAGCAGAGGGCATGTTTACTCCAAGACAAGCAGCTGAGCTTTTTGTAAACCATTTCATGGCACTTCTTGGTCACTGAGTTAGAACACAATACTGACACCTTTGTTCATACTGGTAGCAGAGTCACAGCATGTTCCTCACTATCTCACTCAGAAAAAAATGAAATTAATTAGAGAGAAGCTAGCTGAACTCTAATTTTTAGGAAAATATCTACCACACATGGCTAGGTTAACTTTACTTTGAGACCTTCAGGGTGACAGGCTCACAGTGTCACCAGCCTCCCCTCCACCAAAAATAAACAAGTTAAGTAGAGCAGATTCCACCACAGATGGACAGAGGCTACCAAAGGGAAAATTTAAAATGGCATCTGATGAAGCATCCCATGACATCAGCCTTTTGTCAGGGATGGGGGATGCCCTCTGGCACCAGTGTGGATGGGCTTAGCTGCCTTTGGGACTGATGGGGAAGGCACAAGGGATGCTGTACTGCATCTGTGCAGAGCAGAAGCCCTCTTGCCTCATGTTCTTGCTGCCTGGCCCTAATGGCTGGTGGCTTCCATGGCTGAACCTGTGGGATGTCCCTGGCCCTGTGTTGTAGCACCCTACACCTTCCTGCAGATGAAGGTGCAGGTCACTTCTTGCTTTTCCAAAAGCTAATCCCCCATGTCTGTGCTGCTGGCTCAGGCTATGGCACACCTGATGAGCCACCTTCCTGCTCTGTCTCAGCAAGCCCTGGCCACTCAGGGCAGCAGGACAGTGGTGTTGCCCTGGAGGCTACTCCAGGGAAACCCAGGGAAATTCCCAGGATTGTATTCATTCACACTGTGGCAACAGGCCAGGAAAGGCTTTACTGTAAGAAGATTTTGCCAAGAGAGTGTTAGATCAACTCTGGAGGTGGACAACCTCAGGCAGGGGGTGAAGGCATAAAGCACTTGGGAATTCTTGGCCTGAGCTGAGTGGTGACTTGGAGCCAGTGCTGCATCCACCAAAACATTACTTACTCAACCACGTGGAGTGTGGGGTTGCTAACACAATATTTCTTCCACAGTGCCTGTTTCCTAGTGCTTATCTTTGTCTAGGTGTCTCTGAGTAGTTCTTGACATGCTAAAATGTCACAACTGAAAAAAAACAGATTAAGAAGCCCAGCGTACGTACCTTGGCAACAGCTCAGCTCACTAATCTAAGGATGGCACTTGCAGTGACTTGGCCTGGGCTTCATCTCTGCTCTGCAAGCAGAGACACTGGAACAGACACCAGAGCTCAGTGACAGACGTGTGTCACCAACAGCACTTGTAGCTCTGCAGCTGGAGTTGTGCAAAATGTCTGAAGCCATCTCAGAACCCTGCACCTGAGGTCCACCCCAAAGCTGGGAGGAGCTGCTGCTGGATTTAGTGAGGTTTAGCTCAGTCAGATCTTCTGACTGCTGCAAGAGCATTCCCTTAGACAAGAGAGGTATCCTGATGGCATCTGCACAGCTGCCTTGTGACCCCTTCAGCAATACTGCAACCCCATGAGATGTTACAACACAGAATTGTAGGACAATTAGTTGTGTCATTGTCCAGGACCCCAGCCTTGGGTGTGGATACTGATTCACAAGGGCATACACCTTCCCAGAAGTGGAGTTGCCTGTCCCTGTGCAGTTACTACAGACATGTGGAAAGAGTCCCTGATGATCCTTAAGTGCAGGTTACTCCTGTCACTCACGTGGCCCTTAAGTGCCTGCTCCTACACTCACACACTTAATGGGTGAGTTTGTGCCTTCTGTTTTATGAAACTATAGCACAAAGCAGAAAACCAGGGGGGAAAAAAATCAAACTTCATTTCCATCTTTATGCACTTTCATTACATATTAATAAAGAAAGAGGGAAAAAACCAGTCCCCAAGAGATGCTATTTCTAGTCAAAGCTACAATGAATAGGAAATTCTCCAAGGCCTGTGTGAACAAAAACCCACTAGTGGGATTTTACCTCTTTTAAACAGTCACCCAGAATTTGTTTCCTGCTCTGACAATATATGTTTTCCACACTTCTTTCTTTGTGTTCCCTTGAAACAAAGGCAAAGTGCTTCCAGAAACCTGGAATCTACTGAATGGACTCCACTGTGATAAGCAGCAAACAAAGCCAGATCTTAAAGTCCCACAGTAGCTGTGGGACTTCATGGGTACTGTGACCAGCTTACTGATCTCTTGTGCAGGAAGTAGGGTGGAGATAAACTGCACCCACATTTCCAGGTAATTAATATGTTAATATGCTGCTTTGCATGCAGAGACTGCTCTCTCTGTCCTAGCACTGGGTGCACGTTCTCACGCACAAGGGGAAGAGGAGGCATGTTGGGGTGACAGTGCCACACGAGAAGCCAGGTCACCGGCCCTGTCATTACCTGCCTGTAGGGATGACTCCACCTTAATGACACAGGAAAGGCACCTCTGGGTGTTGCTGGCCAGGACACAGCTCTGCTGTCACCACTCCCAGCATCTGTGAAACCCCTCACGAGCCTGGCCAGCTGTGAAGACAAGGGGTTCCCTCTTCTTGGGCTGTCACGTTGTCCCCAGCTGCCCTGGGCACTCATCAGTGGACATTCCACACAGAGCAGGGAAAGCAAAACCAGGAGACATGCAGATGTTCACTGCACACACAGGTTGGGCTGGAGGGGTAGCACAGCTGTCCAAGTTATCTAAGCCCAGCACACAAGGCCTAGAAGGTCAGTGAAGCCCTGAATGAGGCTCTGGTGTTGGAATTAGCTTGTTTTGCCTCTGATTTAGTGAGAAAAGGCTTTGGCCTCCTGGGCTCTAATGCAGCCCATTTATTATAACATGTTTGGAAAGGAGAATCAAAACACTCATAATGAAAGAAAAGGGAGAGCAGTTGTGGTTTCCAGTGGGTGAATACCTCAGACCTTTACAGACCAGGCTTCCCCATGGCCTCTTCTAGGGTTTCACCAGCATTTTATGAGGCTGCCCTTGCTCTGCTCCCTCCAGGTGACTTTATTTAGTTTATACTGGGTTCCAGAGATCCCTTCCCCCAGTATTTCTTAGCCAGACCAACAAGATGACCACACTCAATCCTGGCTGCAGATGTACTAAAACCAGCACAAAGCAAGGGCTGTGCTGTTCCTTGCAGGGCGGTGTGACCTTACTAAGTCACCCCACAATTGTTCTCTTATTTTCTCTTTCTCTGCTGTTTTAAATATTTGCTCAGCCCCAGAGAGTTTTGCCAGAAGCAAACTTGAGCTTTCCAAGCCATGAGGAATACTGTGGCTGCTGGGGACTGCAGTGCAGTGGCACTGTCACCTCCAGTAAGTGACCTGGGAGATGCAGGACGGGGCTTTCTGAGTGTAAAAAGTCACACAGAAGGCACAAAGTTACTCCCCCAAGAGCAGACTGATACCATAGCTGAGACTTCACATTGGTGTCTTCTGGTTTAAATAGAAAGGCTTTTTTTTTCTCCTGAACTTCAGAACAGTAGACTATACCATGGTAAAAACCCAAATCAAACCATCAGAAAGACTAGAAATGCTGACAAGGCAAGGATTCAGACACCTCCCACTGGAAATTCTAAACCATCTGGTTTTCCTCCTGTTGAACAAAGTCAAAACACAGAAATCCTCTGCAAAAGAAGTGATTTTCACCCAGCTCTGCACTATCACCCTTGTTTCAGCCACCTGTTGGTCCACAGGACAATTTTCAGTGAATGAAAATTACACAGACTTCTGTGTAATAATGGGCACTGCCTTATAACAAATACACACACTCTTTGAAAATGTAAACACACTCCTGAGAATAATGCACCTTTAGAGGTGAGGACCATTCAGTCTCCAGGATGTCAGCTGGGTCAAAAACTTTCCTTTTGTACACAATTAATCCCAACACAATTAAAATAAAAGCAAGCTTTCTTAAATAAAAGCAGGTTAACTGCCTAGGTGGTGCACCTCAATACACTTCTCTCTCTTATTTTCCCTTCAGGAGGAAGATCAGCTTTCTTTTGCAGGATGTTTATAGTGCAGCCTGGCTGACAGCATCCGGGAGATCTGCTAGGACACAGGTATCTCTGTTCTCCAGGGACCTGTCCTGTCATCACCACAAAATCACCATCTCTCTGCACCATGTCCTTGCCTTTTCAGCAGGAACCTCTTTCAGCCTTGGAAAAATGTATAGAAATGCTTTGTGTGGTCACTATAAACAGGATAAAAAAAAACCCCAAGGATTCTGCTCGATCTTAATTCAGGAGAATCAGACACATAGCTCTTCATGATTTTAGGCTCTCTCAGGCTCTCTCAACAAGGCACTCCACTAGAACTGGTGGTTTCAGAAAAACAGTGGCATAACGTAGCATAATTTGGGCCCACCAATCTGCATCAGACTTCCCTGAGACACAGGTACATTCACACAACTGGTTTTACCACTCTCCTTCAGTACACCTTGACAGAAATGCAATTCCCACTCTGCTAAGAGAAAAGGGAAATGTTGTCTTTTCTGATTTTCTAGACAAAATGCTGGTTGTGGTACATCAACAATTGGCCTGACTGGCAGCTCAAGTGTCTATTGCCAGGGCAAAGGGTGTTTTTAATATAGAAAGATACTACATTTATCAGCAGCTGACACACTTGCAATACTGTTGGAATGAGGTCTCAGGTGGGAAGCAGAGACTGAGGGTGGCTGCACGAGCCTCCAGCTCAGTAGGAGCTTGTTACTGAGCTCCCTCCACTGCTCCCACTACAAAGGAAGGCCAAACTCCAGTTCAAGGCTTGGCAAAACCAGAATTGACACTTTTTGTGACTCACACTAAATTGGCACACATGTCTGCAAGCAATACAGACCCATCAACTCCCCTTGCAGCAAAGGCATTTCAAAACAGACACATGTTTTTGGGAAAAATAATCACAAGGATGATTGTCTCTACCTCCATACTAGTATTGGGGTCAAGGTCATCACACTCTGATTCCTCTGAGCTGTTTGTCTCCTTGTTTGGCAGCATGAAGGGGAAGAAAGAGAACAAGAGATTAGCAAAGAGATTGGTTAGTCAGGGCAGAGCAGCACATTTGTGAGCAGCATGGAAATGGGTAACGGTAGGGAAAATGCTCCTGAAACACAAACAAAAAACAAACTGACAACAAAACAAGGGAAGCAAAGGCAAAGACATGCTTTTGCCAGAGAAGCAGCAGTGATTCTGCAATTCATTCAGGTAGTGAAAACAAGGAGGAAGCAAGAGGAGGAAGAACTGTGCCACCATGCTGGAGCAGCGCTTCCCTTGGACCCAGTGCTTCCTCATCCGGAGGGATGCAGTGCCAGGGCTCCTCCCTTTGCACATGCCAGGGCTATTGCACCAGGCTTGTAAGGCAGAAAGCCTCTGCAAAGGAAAACACTTCATCATGGACTCTCCTGGAAAGGGGTGGATCCAAAGGACATGCTCAAGTGCTTTCCTGCATCAAGGCTGGGCTTTGGTTGTGTCAAAATCACAACAAGTGTTTGCTTGCCTCTGTTGGGAGGGAAAGCCCCAGATTAGTCCTGAGCAGGCCTCATGGTCGGTTTATAGGGGTGGATCCTCTGAGTTGGAGCACAGTAGTCAGGCACCCAGAGCAGAAGATGGAGCTTAACCCCACAGTTCTCAAACTTTTCCATACTGGGAGATCTCAGAGAAAGAGAGAGAGACGCAGACACACAGACACACACAGACGCGCACACACACACACACGAGACCTTCTCCTGGCAAGACAGAGTCAGCATCTCTGCCCTGTCTGATAACATGGAAAGAAAAAGGTCATTGAGACCATCTCCCTAGACCAGAAACCTTAAGAATCCCCAGGCTGGGAACCCCTTATCTTAACATCTGGTGAAATATTGACCTAAAGAAAACTCATCAGCAAGGCCACTAGTTCACCCAGTGGCCTTCTCACTGCTGCAGCTGCTCTGATGAAGCAGATCAGAGGTCAGTAAATCACAAGTGTCCCAATTTTTTAAGTTATTTAACTCTGTATATAGTTAGGTTTCTTAATGAGGATTACTTACTTGCATGTGGGATGCCAGGAAAAAGAAAACAAAAAACAAAGACTGCATTTTATCTTGCATGCAAAAATCCTGCTAAAATGAATACTACAAAAAAGGATAAAAAAAAGATAACTCAAGTTGAAAAAAAAAAATCAAAACTAAACAACAAAAAAAACCCAAACTCAAAGTTACTGCCCCCTCCCTCTCTCAGGAGAGGATGCTACAGGGGGTGGAAAGGATGGGAAGCAGGAGAGCAGCACAGAGCTTTCAGATGGCCTTACTCACTTTAACAGAGACTTTGTTCCCCAGAATATCCTTGGATTTACGAGGCCCATTGGCTTCATTTTTGCCACTGCTCTCCTTTTCCGCCCGCTTTCTCATGCGCAGGGTATGCCATGAACATGACTTCCTGTTGTACCAAAAAACGCAGCAATCAAACGGCAAATCATAGCAGGAAGAAAGGTTTTGGAAAGGGGAACCAGCATCCACATTTGCAACTACTGCAATTCCCTAGAAGGTGAAAGCCACTGGCAGGCAATATGCCTGTCTCAATCTCAGCAATGAGAGCTGAAGTTAAAAACCAAATCAAAGAGTTCTGCAAAGCAGATGTTGTGCCACACTTGCTGTTTAAATGCATGGAGCAGGAAAAAAATGTCCATGATGGAAGCACAGGCAACTCAAATTTGGTCATCTGGTTTCAGGGACTTTGTCTTGCATTGCCACAAACAGAAATTTATTTTAATTTTGCTACATTTAAAAGACCAACCTAGTCCTTAGTCTCGTTGGTTGGAAGTAGTGTAACAAATATAAATATGTAGGGATGGTTTTAATAGATTAGTCAGTGTAATAAACTTAAAAAAATTAAGAAATTCAACTTGTTGCTAACTACATGTTGCTCAGAACACAAACAACTCAATAAATAGGAACTGTGTTATTAATTTTCCAAGAGATAAGTAATTTCCTAGAATGACAAGCTCTGCTGTGTTTCTCAAGACCAAGAATTTCCCATTTGACTTTGCCAATCAAGTTAAAGAGGACATCAGTCAGCCATGGGTTTTGGCTAGCATTACAGCAATTACAGCAGGCACCATTTCCAGTAAATTTTTCACCCTTTATTACTGCTCCTATGACCTTATTCTTGGAAAAAAACTAAAAAAGAACAATATCAACCATTGTAAGAGCAATGCTGTGTTGACAAGAGAATTGCATATCAAAGCAGACATAAGAAAAAAATCAAACCAGTTCTTGATATGGGTTTCATTTGGTTAAAATAGTGGACAGGCTGGGGGGGAATTTGGGGAGGGGTATGTTGTCCAAAGCATAAAGCTCCCAAAACAGCAGTGTGATGAGCTGGGATCCAGGTTCAAAGCATCTGCCCACCTTTAAGTCATGCAAATTTGATTTGCATGTTTAAGCCCAATGTTTGGCACATGTCACGTCTACAGTACCTTGACACATTTTACAAAGGAAGTTGTATGAAATCCAGGGATCACCTGTGATGCCAATAAAACGCAGTATGTTAGCAAGGTAGGACCCAAAGGATGCCCCACACAGCCGATGCTCCCCCATGAACACTGCGGCTGCCTCCTACACGCTTCCTGCTCTTCCCTCAGCACCTGATGGGAGCTGTACAATAGCTCAGGTAAAGAACAAGCAAACCCTGCCACAGCCACAAGACTGAACTGGGTCATGACAACTGTTTTTGCAACCAGGATAAGAGTCTGCACTAACTCAGCCTGTGCAGGCAGTCGTGTCTGAGCACAGGGAGCACCAGAGCACCCTGCACGGCTCAGACAGGCACTGAGTGCTGACTGGTGTTTGGGTGTTTCTGGATAAGGTCCAAATGTGAACTGCACAGCAGGGGAAGTTATCCAACACTTCAGGACTGGTATGTTTTCCTTTAGGATATATAAGAAGCAAGAATGTGGCAGATGGGGCTCCCTGATCTATATAATGAATATAGGTGAATAATTCATGGTGCCAACACTGCTGGATCGACCGTATATTTTGTGTACAGTATTCGTCACAGAAGAAACAGCATTACTTAATCAAAGTAGTCACTGTGATCTGGCAGACCAGATAGGGTTGAAGATAGCACAGCTCCAGGTTGTTTTTTACTCATAGGACTCCTATTATTCAAGCATCTTTTTGTTTTCAGGGTTGTTTTAGCTGTTTGATTCTCAAAAACATCATTTAGGACTTTAAATCTCACTGCAGTGAGAAAGAAGTGCAATTCATGTGTCTTTCAATTTTGTTACACCTTCCTGGCCACAATTCATCTGCCCACAGAATTTGATGCGGAATTTTACTGTACAGCTGCCATGAAATCAGTCTTCACCAGGAGTCTGGTACCGTGGATGATTCTAAGGGCACGTGGTTGCAAATTGCGGCTAGAGAGGAACCCGGGAATGGCCGTGGCAGATGTGCAAGAGATGTGCCAAGCAATTCCTTTGGCTTAACATGCAATTCCAGGTAGCATTCATTACTGACTGACAGGTAAAGTCATCATTTCTCTTAACTGAAACGGCAGCAGAGATCAAGTTATTATTTTTAGTGAATCTGTCACAAAATCTTTCCTCATGTTCAATTTTGCGCCTCGAGATATTTGTGTAAGGTAACACAATTTGTAGCATACATCATGCATTACCATCTAGTCATTTTAGATGTTAAAAGAAATCAACAGGTATTACTGAAAAGAGGGTTGTACCTTCTGTATTTAATACCAAAAAACCACTTCCTTGCATTAGTCATTTCAGACTGACAAATTTCTAAAAATCAGAAAAGAAAAATATATATCCACACATTTGTTAAATAAGCAACAAAATATTATAAACAAAATTAAAATCAAAACAAAACAAAATCAAACAAAAAAAGGGTCAAACTAATTCTTTTACCTCATTAAAACATGCTCATAGTGAAAATTTATTTTACATATTTAAAATAGTACATTTAAAATTAGTTACATTACAGGTACAATGATGAACATTGCGACTATTCATTATATTGCACAACCTGACTTCATCAATGTGAGTTTGTTTCTTTTTTTTTTTTAAATAGTGCAAAATACTTTTTACAGGAATGTACTTGGATGGGGGTCTTGCAAACCAAAAAATATATTACAAAAGTTACTGCAAACAGAAAAAAACCCAAAACAAATGAAAAAAAAAAAAAAAGAAGATACAAGCTGTACAAGGAAATTGCCATAGACAACAAAATCTCTCCTCCTTGAGAAGCAAACCTCAGTCCAACACAGAGCCTGGATTTTTGTGTTTGTTGTTTTTTTAAATCTAGATGCTGTTATAACCAATATATAGATTAGTAACTTACTACAACATAAATATAAGTCCAGTCCAAGCAGGTCCATGTTGGTGTAAAATGGTGTCACGTAAAGCGTATCTTTAACCGTCTATGGTTTTATTTCTCTCCAAAGTATAAACAAAATCCCACAAAATGAAAATAAGCAAAACCCGAGCTATCCACCATGGCTGCCCGACGCTGCGGATTGACCACTCAGCTTGTTCCAATGGCACTGTAGACAAAAATCAGCAGGATTTCCCTACCATTTGGGTTTGTTTATTTTTATTCATTTATTTTATTTTCCTCAAAAAATCCACATAGTGCTCCCAGTGAAGCCAATAGGGCACTTACTTGATGCTTCCATCGCTATTATCTGTAGTGGATTTAGGGAGGGGAGCCAAGATACTGCCAGGGATCCATCCTTCAGCAGCTGGAGAGTGGTCGTTTGCAGGCTGGTACACCAGGAACATGTTCTGCTGGTTGATAGCAAGGATCTGAACCACCTCTCCTTGATTCACACAGATCTCATCCTCCTTCAGTGCATAGTAATCTTTAATCACCACCATGGAAGAGGTCCCATTGCACCCTCCCAAATCAGTCTGCAAACGGACACAACACAAACCCGTGAGCGGCCGGCGTGGAGGAACCTGCCCTTTCTGGCAGCAGTCCCACTACTTCATGTCCAGCCTAACCAGACCAGGGAAAAGGACACAAAACACTTGGAAGTTCACATTGGCAGAAAAAGATTTTAAAGATCTGAAAGGTGGCAGTAACCTAATACAAACCAGTCTCCTATTTCACATCAGACTTCAAAGCTGCTAACGACTGTGTCCCTGGGTGTTCTCATCTGCAGGGTTGTCACAGATGAATGGTCTGTGCTGAGCCAAATGGGGAGAAAGACAAATGAAGTTGAGTGAATACTCACAGTTAAATATAGGTCAGATGGAAAGTGGCTTTGGTCAACCTCAGACAGCAGCAGGGTCCAAACACGGTTGGTGGCCACTGACTCTTTGGTGGTTTGTGTGCAGTGCACAGGTACCCCAATTATACCTTTAGCTGGCACCCTGTGAGCTGTTATGTGGGAAAAGGTCTAAGCTCTTCCCTACCACAGACTTTTTCAGGAATAGGTGGTAAATGGTTATCAGAGAAGCCTGAATATTACTTCTGCCAGTACTGGAAATGGATATCTAGTTCACCAGATCTGCAAGCACAGTGCCCTGAAAAACATCGAGATCAGTGCTTAAGGGTCAGGCTCTGTCTCTGCTTCCCAGATGAAGTGTCATCCATGTGGATGCCAGGGCTTTTGCTGTTTAATCCCAAATCACATGTTACCCCATTGCTTCAGTATGTCGATTCCTGCTGACCTGATTAGCTGCTAATTAAAGATAACATCATGGATCACCTGTGGCACAAGAAATGGGCTGTGAGATCATGTTTTATTAGATGAGCTCAGTACCTTGCTTTGTTCATACTTGTCTCCGGGCTGTGAGTGCTCATACCCTGTGCTGCCATTGGAGGTAGATATCTTCAGGGGTGGGAGAGATGGGTTACGGCTCGTAGCCTTCAAAGGCTTCTCAGACCCTACTGGAATAGAGGAATGGGGCCTGGCGTTGGGCTGGGGGACCCTGCCGGCCTGGGGCCGCAGCACCGCCGAGCTGTTCTCCTTGCGCTGGTACTCGATGGGCGACTGCAGCGCTGCAAGAGAGGACAGGAGTCAGCCACCTGCCCCCAGCAGCACTGCCAGGGGCTGCAGAGGAGCTCCAGCAGCTGGCATGGTTCAAACACAACAGACTCATACGCTGCAAACCAAAGAGGAACAGGAGATGCTGCCCATGGAAGCACATGGCGCGTTCATGGCCAGACAGGACACAAGCACTTCACACTGTGCTGTGCATGGACTGAACACAGCACTCCATGCTGATGTGAAGAACAGCTTCTCTGACCTACACAGTAAGGAGGCTAAAATGTTTGCCATTTATAGTACACATAATTGCATTCATTTTCTTTGAAATCGCACAAATTCATCACATCCTGTAGTCAAAATGAAAGCCTGACTAAGAGGTGCACAGCACATTTTCAGTGAATTTTGCTAACATCAGAAAACAAAGGCAAGACCTCTAAGTCTCATTTGCATATTGCCAAGAAAGTGTGACTATTAAATACTCTTTGGACGTGATGCACGGCAACTTGGCTCTCAATGTGCTTTCTACATGAACTGCTTTGGTTCAAGGAAACTGCTGCAACTGGCCAGCAAGTCAGGAAGTATAGATGGCACCAAGACATTCATCCCAGCAGTCCAAACCTCTCCAGAAAACACCCAACAGGCAACACTAAACAGCTTCATAAGCCATAAAAAATAAAGTTTGCTTGTGAGAGTAGATTTTATAGTCATGGAGAGAGCTTGCACTGGGAAATGGCAGGACAAAAATTTCAGACCATAAAGAAATAAATAATCTGTTATGTTTGGAAGAGAAGGGATCAGGGCTGGGACTCACAGTGAGCAGATTTGCTGGGCTCAGGCTACCAGCCCTAGACCTATGGGCTTGGTTTTTTGCAAGTCATGTGGCTTTAACAGATGATTTATAGTCGGTTAATACTGTGTACATGCATCAGACTAAACCTACTGGAATGCAGAGAGACTAGTCTAGCAAGGGGCAGACAGAGGACATAATGTCACAGCATCAGCCCCACCAGGGAACCGCAACAGAAGGAATGTCTTTCCCAACAAAATGAAAAGGAAAGAAAAACAGAAAAGCTCAGCACCATACAGCACAGTCTCTAGCATTCCCCTTCCAGAGAAAGGCAGGACAACTCAAGAAATCACTAAAGAACAAATGACTGGAAAAAAATCAATCAAGGAGGATGCCAGATCACCATTATCTTCAAAAGGACACAGACACTGATCTGTAGCAATCTGGAAGATTACTTGTCTCTAAAACCTGACCCTTGTCACTAAAGGAGGCTGTATTTATGCCACAGGGACTGCCAGTTTCACTTGCTTACCTCAGCTGCAGCTGAAAATGGTTTGGTCCTGCTGCAGACCAGCCAAAGAGGGCAAGGAAGGCTGGGGAGAACTTTGACAATGATTTCAACAGTGACATTTTTCTCCTGTATACAGTAAATAAGGCTGCAAGGTAGTCAGCAGTAAGATCTGAATGGATACTTCTCAATCTCTCTTGAAACAACCTATTGTACTCAGTACTTTTAAAGGGTACTTAGCTGAGGGTCCATTTCTGACTGCTAATTCCACCATGAACTATCACAGTGATGCCTGGCTTCCAGCCTCCTGTTAAACATCTGTCAGTATTCTTAGAAGCCTCTGGCAAAAGTCAGTGTCCATCTACTTGCATGTTCTCTCTTTCTCTTTCAAATTACGCCACAAAACATGATTAAAAGAAGGTACAGATGGATGGAATTTTCCTTATGAAACATGTCCAGCAGTGACAGACTTTCATTACAGCCTGCTTCTTAAAGAACAATCACAACAGCCCATCATTTCATGCACAGCCTGTTTCTCAAATTTAGCAGCTTTTACTTTTCCATTGAAAAAAATGAAAAACTTGAATTTAACATTTTTACATTAATGAAGTTTGGATGTAAATCCTCTGCTTTGTACAGAGCCCCTACTCTTTAGTACTTCCCTGGTGAAGAGAGAAAAATCAGAGACAGCTTGGGCAAGAACTCAAGGGGAATATTTTGTTATTAAGTTTACACAGCATTGGCTCAGTGTGGATTTAATATGATTTTAAGGACAGAAAACATCTGCTTTAATGAAATGCAAAGCTAAAGAACATATTTAAAGATTAGTCAGCCTCAATAAGATTACATTCTAAAAGCCACTTAAAATATTCTGGACTGAGCAGGCTCTACTAGATACAGTATCATTTTCTTGGATCTTATTTATAGTTTTAAGGTAAATCCTTCAGCTTGTGTTTCAATAGAAATCTATTTTTACTTTTGCTTTAGAGATAGTGATGATTATGTTCCTAACCCATCAAATTGCTTGCTGGCCTCATAGAAGATAGGCTGAATAGGGGCTGTGAAAATGTCTCAGTAGAAAGAGAGGCTCACAGGGCAGTTAGTCCTCTGAAAATAAGATGAAATACTTAAAAAATAAAAAGAGCAAGCAAGAAAGATATGTAAGGGATAGAAAAACCCTGCATTAGTGCCTGCAGAGCTCTCACAAGGCTTTAAAAAAAAAAGTCTGCAGCTAACTGTTAGTGGAACTTATTTTTATTCCAATAATTCCAAAGCAAACTGCACTGTCATAAACCCATCAAGTTTTGATACCAACTGGTCAAAATGAAGCACTTGGACTCTTCATCTCACCAGTGTATTTAAGGAATCATTTTGCCATGGTTGTATGAGGCCATTTTTATTCCAAGTCACAAAAACCCAGTATCAAATTGTGGCATCATGGGTGAAACACATTTCCCTTCTCAGCTCAGCCATAGATTCTGAACTGTCACAAACAACTTTTGCATGTAACCCCTTCCCAGTTAAGTTCTGAAAAGTAAAATTAAGCTGAATTAAAATTTTTAAAACCTCCACACTGAAGAAAAGGGGACCTTTGATGTGAACTGAAAGAACCTCTTTCTATTTTGTGGCAAAAAAATCCACAAAACCAAATAACAAACTCGCTCCCCTAAAAAAACCACAAAACCTAACATATTGTGCCAAGCCCAAACATCTTGATTCAAGCAAATATGTTTTATTATTGAACATGTATTACGCTATTAAATATAGAACTCTAATATAAGCTCTATAAAATTAGCTGTTATGCAATGAATAGTGCAAAGCAATCTTGGAGGCATCCAGAGCTACTTTGCTGCTTCCAAACAAACAAAAGAGATACTATTTTTTTTATTCTTCGTCTAGACCTGTTCCCTTCTCTTACCCTTAACCACTCAGGACCAGGAACAAGCTGAAATTGTAATCTGAATTTGATTCCTCTGTATTTTCAAATGACACACTTTTGTTGGTTGTGTGTCTCGTTTTTGAGAGTTTTTTTTTGAAACATAGCTTTAATTTGAAATATTATTTCAGACCACCTCAGATCAATTTTTACAGCAAAGCTGATACCTTGGAAAGGCCCCTTTTCATGCACAGCTCCCATGGTTCCTAGGAGAAACATGCCCTTGCCCTTGTTTCCTTGCTCTTTCCTTTGGTGTTTTTTTTTTTTAATTGAAAGCTGCTGCAGCCCTGCAGAGTGCATGGTGGGGCAGCCTTCATCCCACCTCAAATTCTCAGCTGGTAGCACACAGGGATGTCTAACAGGAGGCTCCTGGGGATAAACCATGCTCTGAGTAAATGAGACATGCTGTGTAGACACAGTAGCAACCTGGCTTCAGATTTAAAATCTCACTGTACAATGGAAAGCAACAGGTGACAGAGCCCTGCAAACCCCAGCACAAAAGCACCACCCACGGAGGGCCCTGAGGAACACGAGCCCAACTGACACATGCAGAAGTGGCTCAATGATTTTCTCACAGAGGAAACAAGGACATGAAGATTCTAAATCCCATTTAGCATTAAAGTTTGGGAAACAGAGCACAGACCGTGTACATACCGTTTAGGAAATCGCGCTGTGTGTCCAGGACCTGGTTGATGTCCTGTACCCAAGCTTGTTTAATTTCTGGATTAGCTGCCTGCAAAATGACTCTCTCTGATGTTTCCCGGCTCATTAGAGCAAACTTGCAGGGATCATTATCCACATTTTCTTCAATGATAAGGTAGTTCATCTGAAACAAGCCAAGGTAAGCATTTTACAGGGAGCACGAGCTAACATTACACAATAATCAAAACTATTGTGAAATGTTCCTGAAAGTAATTAAGTGCAGTAACAAACTGTTAGATCATAATAAGAAGAATTTGTCTCATCTAGATATACCCAGATAAATCTAAATCTTAAATATGGTGCTTAATAAAGCTCTGACAGATGTACCAGACATCCACCCGCCTTGTCTTGAATTACAACTTCTATTTTAAGTAACACAGAACCTGACTGATGTCCTTTAAATTTACTGAAACCCATAAATAGACAAAAATGTTCCTATTAATATGTTAATAAAGTCTATCATCCTTCCAATTTAAATAAGTGTTTATATTTCTTGTCGTCTGATAAGTCTCAGTCATTATAGCATTTTAAAAATGGAATGGACTGTGCACAGGGATATAATGAAAAAAAGAGCAATTCTCCCGTGATGCTCCAACAGATTTTATTTCTAGCAGATTAGAGTCATCTGTGTGTAATCACTTCACTTGACTGTAGTCACAGATACTCTTTCTGGAAATCATATGGATGGGAATTTTGGCTGCTGTCCTGCCCTTGGGAGGATTCTGTTTTAAGTGTACTCATAACTTTATCTTTTCCTGAGATACTTAGAGTAGTAAACAAGAATAAGTTGGCATAGCCTCCCAAAAAAACAAGAGAGGGAGTGTCTTCAAAAGCAGACAGACAAAAGCAGACTAAGGCAGTAATGTCCCCTAGAAGAAATCCATCTCTAATTGCTCTGATTATCTGTCAGGGTATGGAAATCCACTCCACATCAGAATACTGTCCAGCATTCAAGTTGCAAGATGGAATTAGCATCTTCCTTTGCTCCTGAGGGTCTCTGTGAAGTTCAGTGACAGGGAGGAACTCCCCTGACATGAGGACATGGAAAGGACAAGGACAAGGACACACAGGTGAGCATGGACAGTGCTCTTGCTCCTGATCTGAGCTCATTTTCCTCTGGTTGATAGCCAAACCAATCCTGGTATGACTCCAGATAACAGATGTGTAGAGTCCCCTAACCCCTTATTTGTGTCTCAGGGAGGTGCATTCATCAAGGCTTCCACTTTGGTATTTTGAGAGCCTAGAAGGTGTCCAACTGAGCAGTATCTGAGAAGGGATGTGAAATTTCTCAACACTAAGGACCTGATTGTGTAAAAAAGGGTTCTTCGCTAGTGCAGGACAAGATGCTGAAGCTTCTGTCACAGTTTGAGTGTGACAGACCTTGGAGAACAATATCTGGGAGTGCCATCTCTCTGACAGACCAGAACAGCTGCATTTGAAGTCATATGCACTCTTTGCTCTGTGGCTGTGACAGAGGAAAGAAATGGGATCTGTGGTGCTGGCTCAGGTAGAGGCCCCACTGCAAGGTGGGGATGCTCAGGGCCCAGGGAGGCAGGGGAAGGTCGTGCTCCTCTCAGAGCCACAGGTCCTCCCTCTGGGAAACAGATAAATGCAAAGCACTGAGAAGTTCAAGTGTGGGCTGGGGGGGTGGTGTGAGAGCTGCCAGCACACAAACTCCATGCTGAGCTGGGGGAGACACACATGGAGCCACAGGGGATCCCACACTTGCAGGAGACACTCAACAAGGGAATGAGCTGTTTGCCAAGCAGAAGAAAAGGGGCTGGAAAATTATCATACAAGAATTTTAAACTCAGGCAGTGGGAACAGCATTTCTTTCGTAGGCTGTGTAACTAGAAAGGCAACGCATACCCTTGAGGCAAGCTAATTTTATTGACATTAGCAGAGATTTATTTTTCTCTCTTTATCTACAATATACAATTCAGGAATTGTTTCCTGCAGATAAAAGCCTCATTGTTATATATACAATAAACTGAAGTAAAAATGATTCATACTATTTCCATCTCCAATTTTAATAATGATTTAAATCAGCAAAAAAGATAAAATCAAAGCTGATCATCTAAATGAAGATGATTGTTTATTTGTACACTTTGGGTTTTCCCTTTATGGCTTATTATTTGGTTAGAAACTATAAAATACACTGACTTGCAATGGATATAGGCTTTTCAGTAAATGCTGCTGTTTCCATCAGCCAAAAAGACAACCTCATTTCAGTAAATATGCTGTTTACCATCAATTTGTTTAGTTATATATGTTAATATGCATTATTTCAGCTGATAGTGTTCTCTTCTATTTCATATTAATGCACCATTTAAGACTTAGAGCAAACACAATGCATTACCCCATGTCTCTTAACCTGTATCTTTGAAAAGGAAATCAATCAGCTTTGAATGACCCAGAAATTCAAATGAATCAGTGATTTTTCTCTTTCTGCAGGCACAGCAAAGGCTGTTCTACCAGGAGATGTGCAGCACTTATTCACTTTCACTGACCATTTCACAGGTTAACTTTGCATTTGTTAAACAAAGAAGTATTTCCACTGGTTACTTCAGCTTTCAGCTTTTTTAGCCCCAGCCCCATAATCTAGACAGATTATTTAAAACCAAAATGAATTTCTCAAAACTCTCTTTATAGTTTATCTGGTTTGTAATTCCTCACAGCTGTATTTTTAGAATTATGTGTGGTTTTATTTGTCTTTGAAATATTCTTGCAACATCCAAATTTGTACTAAGAGCCCTCACCCAAATTAGGGAGAGTATTTCCAGAAATAGCATATTAAAGGCTTGGTACTGACTTATAGATTGACCTAAAATAACTGTTTGGATACTGTACCTTCATTTACCTTTTATAATCATGCATAAAAGCAACTATTGTAAACGTCCTTTGACTACTGCAGGTTTTGTAGCAATATTTGCTAATTCAGAGCTATGAATGATAGAGGATCTGCTCTGGCTGTGTTCCTTGTAAAAATTACCCAATAAATTTAGACAGCCAGTGGTCTACTTAGAGATGGTCTTAAGCAGCTTCTGATCCACTGAAAGGTAAATGCAAATGTTTTCTGCATATTGCTGTCCCCTATGACAGGATGAACCTCACATGGCCATCAAACAGACCATGCTTCTCCTTCTGCATTTCTTACCTTTATGCTCTTCTTGAACATGTAGCCTGGCGTTAGAGACCCTTTTCGAAGGAGTTCACTGAAGATAACTATCTGCTCAAAGAGAAACACCCTGCGCTCCTTGGGCCGCGACTGCACCCCGGAATCCTGCTCCGTCACGTAGAAGGTGTCCTGCTGTAGCAGCTTGCCTTGAGCTGTCAGTTTGCCCTGGGAAGCAGACAAGGCAGCAACATTACAAACCCTGACCCACTGTGATCCCACAAGGTGATATGCTCTATCTTATGCAGCCCAAGTTTTCCAGGCAGCCCTGCATTCATGTGAGACACATCATATCCCCTCTGAGTTACCAAAGCAGCGATCCTGACCTCAGCTGAAGACAAACAACAGAGGTTTTCCTTGCTCTCACTGCCACTGAGTATATAAAACCAACAGCAAGATGTCTCAAGCAGACAGTTTTGTACACTTAATTCCAAATCCTGTTCCCATTATGCTGCTGTAGTGCTCCAGCCAAGAGCTCTCCGTCATGCCCTAAGCCAGCAGTCACTGACACAGCACCTCTGAATGTGCAAAGGCCAGTACCTACCTGTTTGCAGTGCATAAGACACTAAGACTAATCTTAATTCATTTTGGAGATAAGACTTCTCCCCAAAGCCTACACTGGCTTATTTACAAGCCACAAGCTGTACCCTGTGGGGTTGTAACTCCCAAGTCTCCTCTTGGATGTTGCTGAATTCATCAGGAGCTCGGCGGGAGCTGTTAACATGTTAATAATGCCAGGTGACCAGGGCAGGTTGGTTCATCACTTATTTTGCTCTGGTAATAGGTATAATAAGTGTCATTAAAGCTTGCAGAAGCTTTTACAGACCTCACATTTTGAAGAAACAATATGAATTGTCACAAGTTTAGAGTGAGAGCTTTGACACCTCACCAAAGCATAGAGCTCAGCATTGCAGAAGAACAAGCCCTAGATAAGTTGCTTGGGTAGATTGTAGAGACAATCATATAAAGAGAAAGTAATTTTCCTTGCCTAGTAATTATTGTAAGAAGAATGCAAATGCATACCTCAAAGCCTTGGAGGCGACCCAGGTTCATCATGTCATTGCAACGTTTTGGTACAAGGCACATTAATTCCACTGCTTTCTGTTGAGGAAAAGGGATGTTGCATTATTACAAGAGAACCAGAGGGCTCCTGAAAGCACAGTGTCAAATAATGAAGTTCAATAGCACGATTGCTGTGCTCATGGCAAGGCCCTGATGAATAGATGTCTAAAAGAGGATGGTGCAGGACTGAAATGCAGGACTGCACCGTCATCTTTTAGTTCTGATTTATCTAAGAGAAATACCACATTTAGAATACCAGCAGGATCTTCAGCTACTGTCAAAGGAATACTGGGGTTTTCATTTCTCCACACAGAGTCCCATTAGCCCTATTGTCCAGGCCATGAAAAAGTACCTCTATCTCGGAGCACTCCAGACCAGCTTTTTCACTGTACCTCAGGAAGTCCTGGAGAAAGCAGAAAGGTTTGCATTAAGGCACTTCAGGAAAGAGAGAACAAAAGGCACCAGTTTGAAAAGGGAAAAGCATATTCAGCATGTGATTTTCTGAGAAGAAACTAATAGCTAATATTCATAAATTCATCTTCAGAGATTGCTGAATGTCATAACCACTTTAGAAATATGGAAAAGGGGTGTGGATGGTTGTGGAGAAGATCACAGAAAAAAAGGCAAAGCTGGGGTTAGACCTTGGGATTGCTTATTTGGTCCCTGTCTTAAGCCACAAGACCACACAAACACACACATGAAGATTTTTCTTTTCATTTTGGCATTTTGGGGAACACACTGCTGTGCCTTTGCTAGTGTTCAATTCCCAAACCTGGGCTGATGGCAGCCTGCTGGGGTCTAGCTCAAAAAAGAGGAGAAACCAGCTCAGAGCCCTGGTGCTGCTGGCGATTACAGGGTGGGTTCAGACATGCCTGATTTTAGATATTGGCTTCAGACCCCTCGGGATGAATTTTCAAAAGTGCTGAGTAATTGTCATTATGGATAAGTCACCATAAACCATAGTGGTCAGGCTCCTTGGGGAAAAAATTCTGGCAAGCTCCCAGAATTTTAAGACGACAGATTATTTTGAAAATAAGTTTCTTCAGCTAATTTGAAGGCAGATATTCAGAAATGGAGGGTATAGCATTTACTAGAAGCATGCCATTCAGCACCTAAGACAGACTTTAGCAGTACACTTGTGTATCTTTGTTCCAATTAAAAAAAATTTGAAAGTTTGCTCTGAAACTTCAGAGGAAGAAAAGTCCCATTTGAAGTGTAGTCTTCTATAAAAAAAAATTTCAAAAGAAAGTTAAAAAAAAATCTGTTTACTATCCTAAATTACAAACCACTCACACAGATGTGGCCTCCTGCTCTCTGGACACTTTCCACAGGCCTCTGTCACTGCATGCCCAGAGAGCAGACCTCTTTTCTCCTAATTTGATGTATTTATTCCTCAGTTAAGTCTAAGGCTGATTTAAAATAACAGCATCTAATGCAACATGCAGACTAGAGTTAAATCCAAACTGTATTTTTTCACTCACCTTGAGAAGAAGCTGGTATTTAGTTATTCTTTGAATGGGTTTAATCAAAAAGTCACTGATGGTCAGCCGTTGGCTTATTTCCTGCTGAACCTCCTAAAAAAAAGAGGATTAAAAACAATTGCAAACAATCACAGAGTGAGACAGACAACACGATAAAATGTCTCAGCAGAGACTTATTTCCACTGCAAGTTGGTCAGTTCTTAATCTTTTGTTTGCAAGAGGGAATTTCTGAGGATTTAAAGATGTGGCATACCCTATTTAGGCAAGGCCTGGCTAGAAGCTGTGCCCGAGCTGGGAGGCGTTGGGAAGCTCTGGATCCCTCCTGCTCTGAGCTGAGCCAGCAGCCCAGCGAGGGCTGAGGGTCACTCTCCCCACTGCAGTGGGGATTAGCTCACCAGTGAGTCCTGCAGAACATCCTTCCCTTGTTAAACAAGCTGCTTTCACATTGCTATCGAAATGTGTCTAGTCCCAAAGGCTTCTTGAAACACACAGAGTTACTGGGGATTTATGAGAGGCACCATCCAGCTCCAACAGCTTTTACCTCCCCTGTTGTTTGTACACTACTGATTTAAAAGTCTTGTTTTACTTGGAACAGAAATTAGTGCATTTGTGGTACTCTGAGGGCCACACACAGTTAGTACTGAATTAAATATTTATTAGAAATTCACAATATGAGAATTTGAAAGCAGTTAAATAATTACACTTTCTCCGAACGGCAGAGACCTCAGCACCACGTGCAGTACCAAAATCTTCAGGAGTTTGTTTTAGGCAAAGCCCACAGGTTACAGAACAGTCTCCTTGACCTGGACTCAGAGCTGTGAGCAGTGATAATGTACACTGAGCTGTGCTTACCTCAAAGTAGGCTTCATACTCAGCTACTATATACTCAGAGCGGGGCTTGTTTTGGCAATACACCACGTACATGTGCAATCGCCGCTCCTGTGGAGGCAAGAGGCACAGCACCCAGTGAGATAATGGCTACCCTTCTGCTATTAAAAGGTGGCAGAAAGTTGCTATGATATTCCACTTGGAATATTCCTTATTTTTAGTTTAATCAAAGATTTAGTTTGCTAAAGCAGGAAATAAAATCAGTAACTGGTTCTGTTCACATCTGCACTTAGGCAAGGGGAGCTTTCTGGGTTGTGGCCAGTGAGAGATGTTATACCCAGACTGACAGGTCTGAAATTTCCTCTAGAGTTAAGCTTTGGCTAACATCACATGAACATGTAAATTGTAGCAGTTGGCAAGTACCTGCCATAATTGTATTTTGGCAGATGTCCTTGACCACATCAATTTTGCCCCCCAAAGTAAGTTGTCTGCAAGAAGACAATGATTAATGCCTTTGTGCAATCCAGCTGCCCACTGGAAATGTGTAACTATAGGGAAACTTTATGTTTAAATTCAGTTTAGACACATAAAAGTATGGAGTCAACACAAACAGATGTTTTTGAAAAGGAGCCATCACACCCTAAAAGGCAATTGTAGTAGGTATAGGAAACAAAACAAAACTTACATGCTTAATAAAAAGCTGTGCTAAACGCTCAGGTTCTTGAAGACATTTTTCCAGTTCACCCAGGAAAAAGCTAAAAGAAAGGATATGAACACTTCAGAACACTTCTTCAGGTCATCCCAGCAGCAAACTAGTCATCCTTCAGATGTAACAGTGACATTTTAACTCCAGGATTCAATAATAAATTAAAAGGTAAGCTTGGCTTCAGCCCTAATGGTGGGATTTCTAAATCATTAGATGAGAGCTGTGAAATGTGGAGGTCTTGTTTTGCAAACTGTCTTCTCTTCTTTACTCTGACAGTGGTTTCAATTTTCAGAAAGTGCTGATCACTATCTAATTGCAAGAGCTGCTTTCTTCACTGAGAAGTCCCAAAGTAAAACCCTTCCATATACCAAAATCCTTGTGAAAACTCAGCTTATGAAAACTCCAGTTTTACCAGGAATTCTCAGTTCCACGAGCAGATTTGGAGCATTGGTCAACGTGAAAGAGATTGCTCTATGTTTCCACCTGAATAAATGAATCAACATGATTTTCTGGTGGAGTTATGGTATGTTCTATTTCCCACTGGTTTTAATTTCATAATAAATCACAATATCTAATTCATAATAGTCACAGTAATTCATAAACACCATCTCCATCTTGACTTGCAGCTTCAGGGAGGTCATTCATTCTAGCTCAAATGCCCTTATCAAGAATATTCTGGGATGCCTCTAAGTGAGCTAAAAACTTCAGAAACACTGCTAGATTTTTCTATCTGGTAGGCAAATCCAGACAATCATCCTGTCCACGATCTTCCTCTTTTTCATTTTAGGATTTCAGTATCAAATGCCTCCACAGATTTGCAACAGTAGCCAGATTTTGTGAGAGGACACACTTTCTGATCCCAAGAAATCCCAGAACTTCAAAAAATGATGCAAATTGGACAGATGTCCCAATTAAAATCTCCATTGCTACCATTAGATACAGCTGCTTCCATAACCCAATCCTCTATAAATGCTACATTCATCTGCATTTAAATAGACTTCTTGACCCAGATATACAGAGCTAAAAATAGGGAATCTTTCCATTTGTGTTACAGAAAACTCCTGTCCTCACACTTAATCAAGGAATGGCACTGGTAAACACATTCCATTTTCTGGTACCAACTTAAAGTGAAGCTTTCTCTGACATTTTTTAGTTTGGAATCACAAGGTCATCTGTCAGAACACAAGGACAGGCACAGACCATGGGATGAGCACCTATGGGACACATGACAGGAAGGATACTGTGCTTCCAGGGTGAGGGAAATGTCCAGAGCTGAAGGAAGATCCAGCCCAATGCCCATTGTTCAAGTCTGTACATGCATGCTCAAAGTTTAGTTAATTGGAGCTGCAGAGAATTTCTGAGTGGCAGAATTGAAATGATGACCACACTGTCCATAAGCAAGACACTGTTCACAAAGCTACATGGGAAATGGCCCAAGGCTTGTGTTTCCAGCAGCTTTTCAAAATCTACTTCTAAGGAATGTAGTTCCCAACTCAGAGCTAAAAGCATCAGCTTGGCCAAAGCATGCTAGGGCTTTCTGGTGAGAAGGACCTAGAAGCAATTTGCATTTTATCACCCTTCTAGCCACATACCACTGGTATTGTTAGCCTTTGTGATCCCATCAGCTGCAGGTGAAGATGCTGCTGAGACACATCTTAAAGAGGAACTAAATGAAAAACTTACTCTTTGTGCCAGTCATAGATCTGATGAATATTGCCAAATACAATCTTGTCTTTCCCTTTCATATCTTCAGAAACTCCTTTTTCTTCCATCCTCTTCATGAAGCCCTTTAGGATTAAGGATCACTGATTCAGCAAAGGACTCATGTGAAGGGGGAGCACAATTACACCCTTTTTCTTTTTTAAAGAAGCAAAAGTTTAATGCCAGGATTTTTTTACATTGAAAATGCTGAAAAGATCTTTCATACAATTTCAAACCAGAAACCTAAGTAGATACTTTAAATTACACAGTTTGCTTAAAAGAAAACTTTAAATGATCTGTTTAGAGTATCTGCAACACTTACAGAAAACATTATTAGATTTAATTGAAGTGACAAGTGCAATTGTAAGATAAAAGTTAAACAAAGTAGTTTGTCAAGCTCTTGGCTTCTCTGGTGAGAGGAGGAAATCAGACTCTATATAGAGTCTATACAGTCTATGGACTGTATGAAGTTCTTCTGTTCATCACCACGAGCATCTTGTGGGAGCCAAGCAGTAAGTTTAGAGTCACAAGAACAGGATTCCTCACACCTCCTGAGAGTTTATTTTGTAAGTCTTTGGAGCATGACAGCCCTGTCAGGTTTGCCAGTGGTGCATACATAACACAAATGTTTTCAAGTTTGGAAGCTATTGAAAATCACTGTTAGATAGACTGATAATTCTCTCTGGACCAGTGAATGCCACTAGTGAGTCACATGTCTCCAGTTCTGAGTTCTTGCTGGGAAAAAACCTGAACCCTGCACTGAGTTAGATGTGACAGGTGATCCCTAGGGATCAGCCAAATCTTTGCAAGTTGAAGCTTAAAAAAGAAGACTTGTTTTTAATGCAAAAATCCCTCAAACTCTCTTTTATCTCAGGCCTTTTTTGCAAAACAATAATCTACAGGACACACATGCACCTCAACACAGTTCCAGGCCCAGCTTCTGGAAAGGTACTCAGACACAGGACATAAGTCCAGGTGCAAATTCAAGGAAAGTATGTGTTACCATTACCCAGTATGATGGGAAGAAAAACATTGAATAAGTGGTAGGGTCATAAGTTAATTTTCCACCAATGCCTCCAAAGCTGCATTACAGCAAAAAGAGTTTGTCACAAGTAGGGTAGCCAAGAAAAACCTCTGCACACTGGAATTGAACCTAAAATACAACATTTGCTAGATGGAAACAAAAATAGTTTCCAAAGGCATTTCTTCTTGTTTCTGTCAACATGAGAAGGGGACCATGGAAGCAGACTGCAAAATAAAGCAGTTTGTTTCTCCTGCTGTATTTTTTGTTGTCACTTGTCAGCATGGTGCTTTTTAGTGGGAAAACATTTTGCATAGCAGGGTTTGCTTCAGCTCACCTCCACAACAATTCCCAAGTCTTTGACGTAGTCTTTTTCAGTCTGCACCAGCTCATTTAGGACAAACCTAAATAAAACAGAACACACAAGTATTTGACCATATTCCTTGATGTTACCATTTGCTCCTTTACCACATACAACCTCACCATAAAACCCCATCATCATCCAGATCACATAACACAACTCACCCTTCACTCAGAGCTCAGTGGAATGTAACAGACAAAAACATCACATGTCAGCTCAGAGTAGTTTCAAATCTCTTAACCATTCTTTCCTGCTATCCCCCTTCCCCCCACATCCCAGGATGGTGCAAGAGCAGCAGCACAAACAGCTGCCTGTACCTTAAACTACCCCTCCCTGATCTCCTCTCCCCATCCCCTACACAGCTCCCCTAGAATGATGGACACGTGTCCTGACCCATTTTCCAGCAAGCAGGAGTGGATTCCTTGTCCCAGTCCTTCTAGCTTCACCTAAGATTCATCAATTAAGTATCAATTTGGAAGTTTCAAACACTTGGAAAAGAAATCCCCTCTCCTGCCATAGCTAAGAGCTTAATCTTTTGGAGCAGGTAATCTATGTGTGGGTGTCAAGTGTTTTAACTCTGATTTCAGAGCTAATAACCCCAGGTAGGGGAGTTGTCTGATGAAGGCCTTGATGCACGCAAACAACAGCAAGCTAAAAAAAGTTCCTCCTTTGTAACTCAAACTGACTAATCACATAATGTTCTTTTGAGGATAATTAAAAAAAGTTACAGCTTGCTGCAGACTTTGTCTCTCAATTATGCCAATACATAGATTTGGCATATGACAAATAAACTCCATCTGTCCTCAAGTTTGGTATGGCAGTAACAAGGCTAACAAGACAGAGGAGTGCTTTCATGTCTGATATTGCTCTGTCCACATCAAACACCAGACTGACCCACTTGAAGTGATAGGGCTGGGGGCTAACAGTGCTAAGATAAACCATACTGGCATTGCAAGGAGAGACTTAGTTATGAGAGGCTACTGAGAAAATAAATCCTGCTCCTGCTGTGCTTGCAACGTGTTCCTTGCTCAGACAAAGCAGAGGCAATACTTTGGCCATGTGGCAGAAAAAAGTCAAACAGCTTCTTGTTGGTCTGAGAGTGAAATCCAGCCCCCTTGGCAGCAGGCAGGGCTGGCAGCAGCCACACCAGACCCTTGTGCTCTCTGGAGCACCGTGCCAAGTTGTGCCTGGGCAGCAAACACGTGTGAGGCAAGAGCTGCTCCCAGAGAACATGGCCTGAGCAGGCGTGTGCTGCACAGCCCCTCGGGCTGCCTGACTCACTGTGCCCTTGGGACAGGCTCCACTGTCCCCTCTGCCCAGAGAGGAAGGCCAGGAGGGGACCTTGCAGCTGGCACCACCCCTGTTTGCACTGCTCCCAACAGGCACAGAGAGCTGCGGAGGGAACGGGAGAACCTGTCCCACTACAAGGTTACTGCAAGGATCACCCTGCCAAGTTCTGCTCTAAAAATGAAGCAGCAGGTACTTCTAGTATATAACACTGCAGGACATGCAGGCAGGTGTGTGTTTATTAAAAATCAGGTTTCTGGTGTACAGACAAAACCTGCCAATTCACACCTCTACTATGATTCAGGGTCTGCACCTCCACTGCTTACTTTAAATTCAGCTCCTCTCTTCCCACCAAACAGGAAAATCAGCCTTGACCATCTCTACAAAGATTCTCTGAAGCCTATCTGATGCAGCACCTTAGAGGTACTCCCAAATTTAAGGTTTCTAAGTTGCACGTAGGCAAAAATTCAAGTTCACTCGTTTCCTGCTCTGATAACAGGGAGCAAGGGCCGGGAGCTATTTGCAAAGTGCCCTGGTCACCAGCAGGTATTGACTACACAGCTGCATTTAAACTGACAGGAACAGGATTTCTGACAGAGTCTGAATAGCTGGATATCTTGGAAACTCTGTATTAGACCTATACTGAACAATGACACTCAATAAGACTATTGTCCTACTCCTCACAGAAATGCAGCAATCAAGCCTGATGGAATAAGAAGCTTCCTCAAACCAGGCTAACTACTGGGTGTGCAGCCAGGAACAGAGGACATTGCTGCCCATGCCTGTGCAAGGGTTCAGCTGCTGTTTTGTGGGGATTGGAGGGTCACAGCTCGAGCTGGGAGATCAGCTGCCTCACATGACTATGGAATTAAACCCAGCAAGCTGCAGGGACACAGAACACAGACACAAAGGAGCTGGACAGGAGACAGATGTCTTGTGCTGAAAGTCACTAGCAGGTGCTCCTAAACATCCTGGTGTTTAGGAATTCTGGCAGCTACTAATTGCCCATAATGGGCTGCCAGTTCCCTGCCAGAAGCGTTCCTGTAGCTGAGCTTACAGTGGCAGAGATCTCTGAACTAAAACTGCAACCTGCACTTAGCTGCCAGCCACCCAATTAATGAATTGCTACCAGAGGAACTCCAGATCCTGCAATACTGAGGAGTCTCTAGGAGACAGTCATGGGCAGAGGTTCCCTGCAGGAAGGCTGACAGCTGCCTTGTAGAAAACTTCTGCCATTCAGAAACACATCCAGGACTGTCATGTCCTTGTCTGCTGCTGGGAGTTGCTCCCGTCCCTCACTGTATCCCTTCTCTGGTTTCCTGAAACAAACTGCAGAAGCAAATGATGGCTTTCACAGACCTTTGACACTTTGCTCCTACTTCATCTTCTACTCTTAACCACCTCCTTGTTCTCCCTGACTTGGCACCTCTCCCAAATGGGGTGCTCTTCTTCCACCTCTGACCTTACCACACTCCCCTGAGAGCTGTATGGAACATCACTTTTCTCCTCAATCTACCATTTGATTAGATCATTGCAGTTGCTGTTGTTAGTGTAAGAGGTGATACAAAGAAAACAGCCACCTCAGCTTTCTTTCATGTAATTGTTGATCCTGTTGCTCAAATTCTCTGTGTTCTTCAGCTGAACACACATTTAAGAAATGCTTTAATCATTATAGGCTTTGAAGGAAAAATCATTATTTTTCTTAAATTTAAGGGGGTGTACAGCTAATTTTAAAAAACAACTTTCACGAGCTGTCACCACTTCTTTTTTCTCCCATTACCATGAACATGGGAGTTTCCCAAATGGAACTTTCTTTGCAGTGGAATGTTTCCACCACATGCATCAGATGCATCTGAATCTTGTCCCTTCCTTTGCTAATAATAAGGGCAAAAAATATCTCTTTCAAAAAATCCTAGGGAGATTTTTCTTTTTCTCAAAGGTAGCTAATAAGGTCAACCACACATCCCCCCTCTGAGAGCTGATTTCACCTCTGGCAATGCTGTAATTACCAATGCAAACATCTCAGTAATACCTGTTGAGCTCTTCAGAGGCTTTTACAGCAATAGATATTTGCTATCTGGTGCAAAAGCTGTACATTTTAGAATGATGATGAACTTACTGTGTGTGGAAGTGCTTTTATGAAGTGTTTTTACGTTAAGAAAAACAGGAATCAAGCAGAACACGGTTTTACTCCCAGTTCCATGGTCATTCACTGACTACAAAGTACTCCTGGAGTGCTGCTGTGTGTCCTCCTGGGGTACATATTTTGGAAAGAACCAGTAACACAACTTACATCCTGCCTCTCATTGCTTTGGCTTTTTGTTCCTCTTCAAGGTTGCGTGGGGGAGTTGAAGGCGTCATTCCTTCATTCAAGCAGCCAGTGGCATCTTTTAAGCCTCCTCGGTAAGATCCTCCTTCAAGGGTCTAAAAAAACCCCAAAGAACAATAGAATAAAAATAAACATTCTCCTTGAACTTCAGCATCAGTATTCAAGTCAGTTCTGCAACCAACACTACAAAGTATTCAGAAATACTCTCTTGCAGAATTTCATAACCAAACTAGTTTTAGGTTGATGTAGGACTCCACAAAAAAAAGTGGAGTTGTCATCCTCTTGTTAGAAGGTAGAAAAAGACGTTCCAGTAGATCTGAGAAAAAAAACTTCTTCCAAGTTATTTCAAATCAACCTGGAAATATCCTGATGTCTCAATCAGGACCATTGTTAGGCTACATGTGGTTAAAAGCTCCTCTGCCAAAAGCTGGATGAGGGATTCTTGTAGTAAAATAAAACATGAAATAGGAATAGATGGACACATAGTAAGGTTCCACAATAATAAATGTTTGCCTCAAATCCCTTGAAAGTAGTTGTAATAGTCTAATAGACTGCATGTGGGGGAGAGAAAATAAAATATCATCAAAAAAATATGTCTGACTGGATTAATGAAATACTTTTCAGTTTGTTAGTCCCTCAATGGAATAAAACTATTTTAAGTGAATTTTCTGGGAATAGTCTTCTTGGTTTCCCATGCCACAAAGAGCTCCTTTACCACTCATGCCTTATCAAGCACGCTGTAAACACTGACTCTTTCATGTACCGCATCTCAAACTGAGAAAATACCAAAGTCTTCTGAAATTATTCACTAGGTAAAGATGCTTGCTCAGAGTTTCAGTAATTTAATGATCACTGTGGGGATTTTTAGATTTTTTTTTACTCTCTTCATCATTCCAGTAGATGTAAGGAAATGAACCTTTGTAGGCTCATCATATCCCTGCTTGTTAATTATGTTGAACTTGTTAAATAAAGCATTTAGCTAATTTTAGAGGTCCTGGGACATGTAGAAAAAGGTGTAGCTTTGATATTAACATTTTTGAACTGCACTGGGAAAACTTAAAAGGAGCCAAGATATGACACAGGATTTACTCCTTGTCCACCAGACATGGGGATCAGACAGTGAGAACACACGATATGAAATTTTTGAACAAATTAATCCCAGAGCATTTTTATTGCTTATTCCACTCCCTGCAAGAAAGAGTTGACAAGGCAGATTAAAAGTGACACATGAATCTTTGTAAAATTAAAGCACAGCTGTGATACTTCAAGCAGTTCTACTCTTTAGAGAGTCTTTTCATCAAAACCAGAACACCAAACAAATTCACGTTGGGTAGTAAAACCCCTGTGCCTCAGAACACACTTTAAAACAAACAAAACATCCCACTGTGTAAAATATTTGAATACTAACAAGACCCCAGACACTGTAGAGTACAGTATCTCATGCTCTGCAAAGCCCACTCCAGAAGTGACTTTTGACCATGCAGTGCAGAGCCTATGTGAGATGCAGGCTTCATCTCACAGGGGAGCAAAATATTGGACACTACTGGGAAGCAGAGCACAGAGGGTTAATAAAAGCAGAGCAGATGAAGGTAGAAAGCAAGGAAACCAGAACAAGAGGAAGCCTTTAAAGCCCTTCCTTAGATCACACTGGGCCTGTTGTGTACACAGTTTTCACAACACTAAACTTACCAGCTTAGTTTTGACCAACTTTTCTATTGCACTGACAAGATCCGCAGCAGTTGGGACATCGGAGGAGCTCTGTCGAGCAGCTAGCAAAGAAGAGGACTGCAAGACACCAGGTGGCAAAGGAAAAGCAAGTTAGCAGGATGAGAAGGGAGAAGGAAACCAGGTGGTCAGTGAAGAAGCTTCTGAGAAGGAGAAGGAACGTGGAAGGGGAGCTGGAGGGCGAGAGGAACGCATGCAGGTCAGGTGAGCGAGTGCTGCTGTGTCAGACAAGCATGGAATTGCCATCCACTTCTGGCTGCACATCTCCCTGCAGCAGCTCCAGGACTGGAACCAGGGAACAGCATCAAAGAACTGAAGTTCATTTACAAACAGGTTACAATTCTCTTAAAGTTGGTTCCTCATTCTAAGGCCATCTGCAGTCTTACAGGCTCCAGAAAATTGATTTTCTTACTGCAAATGTAAGAAATTACCCCCTCCCCCATACATGCATATTTGATAAAAGCAGTTAAGCACAAGGTACACATGGCATTTCAGGCAGTAGGGGAGGGAGGCAGGGGGGAACAAATCATCCCCCATCCTTTCCTCACAGATCAATTGCAACTTAAGATGACATCTTCCACTCATGCAATTTCAGTCACCTAAAACTCTTCTGTCCCCTCTCTGCAACCACTGGAGGCAAAACACCCCTACACACCCCACCCCTCCTGGGTACCTGGCACAGGAGGACAGAAAAACTCTGTTTTAGTTTAAGGTTTTTGCTTTACAAGGGCAAAATCACCCCTTGACTGCTGTCCCAAGAAACCCCAGTATGAACACCCAAACCCACTTGATAGCTATGGGAATTGGGATTTATTAGCTCACCTGCATATACATTTCTTCCTGACTGAAACTAAAGCCCTGACTAAAACCACAAGCCCTTGGACAACCTCCTTTTGTTGCCAGGCTGACACAGACTAAAGCATGGCTAAATTTTTATAAATCATGAAGAAGCTTATTCATCCCTCAGCTGCTTAATGAAAGTATTGTGGAGGGCAGCTATTTCAGTGAAGTCACTGTGCAGGTGCCAGCAAACACCCATCTGAGATTCAGCAGTGCTGGGGAGGGAGATGGGGAATGGGATGGCAGGAATTCAGCAGCTGGCCACCCTTTTTCAGCAGCCCTTTGGGGAGGCTGCTCCTGTTGAGTGACACATGCCCAGTACAAGGAAAAAAAAAAGCAAAGGAGATTAATCCTAACCAGAAGCCTTGTGACAGAACAGAAACATGAACACACTGCTACTCATCAAGTTGTCTTTCACAAATGATACATCTAATCAACAGTTCTAATTGCAACAACAACAAAAACTACAGGTAATCAGGCTGGTAATTGAGGAATTAGGCTGGTAATGAGGAATCTCATACTAATGTAAAAACTCAGCCCGCCTGTTTTACCTGCAATGCAGACGGATGTGTCTAGGAAAAAAAAAAAAGACTGAAAATAAGAACTTTGAAGAGATACTGGACAAATACATTGATGATAAGTGCCAAACACAGCCATTCTAGCAGGAGGAGTCCAATTTTTGGAGGCATTAAACAGCTGTTGCTGTCACTTATTTTAACTGAAATTGCTCAATATCTCTGAAAAGTAAATAACTGCAGGATTCTGAAGGAAGCATGAAAATATTTGCTGCCTACAAGAATTCCAGGGTTAAATAAAACTTCTGTGATCGACAAGAGTCTGCTTTGAGTGAGGAAAATAGAAATACGGTACTTCTATTCTTCAGGAACCAAATTATGAATTTCTAATATGAAAAGATCTCGCAATGTGTCTTTATGAGAGCCTCCAGGAGCAGTGAGGCACAATTACTGCTGCCTGGCAGATGGACTCAGGGAAAAAGTGTCACCTCCCATACATGCAGACATCTCCTACCTACAACAGCTACTGCCCCACACTGCTGCTGCTGGTCCAGCCTAAGCCCGTGCCTGTAAGCACAGAGGGAGGACATGAGCAGGACACTGTGCTCAAATCAACACCATTAAAGAGCTTTCAGCTCCAGCATGGCTCAAACATTGCTAATATGGTGCTCCTGTGCCAGGAAATTCACGACCCTATGGGCTTAAATTTTTTACCCCTTTGTGCAAAGGTTGAATAGGGCAAGAAAAACAAGAGGATAAAAAAGGGGGTTCAGATGCATCTTGCTCTATTTAATCTTCTGTTTTAGGAGTGGGTGAAGAAAAAGGATGCCAAAACACCCTGTAAAGCTCAGACATCTGAAGCAGAAAACAGCTTAGTTCCATGACATTTATGCTGTCAGAAACATATTTAAGAAATCCTGAAATCACATGGCATGTTGGACACCAAAAAGAGTGACCTGAGCTGCAGCACTTCTGTTTTTCTTAAAAAAAAAAAAACCCAACAAAATAAAACCATCTCCCCAAAACCAAAAAGCAAACTAAGCCCCAAACATTTAGCTAAACACCATGGGGAACAAGGCAGGAGCAATTGTGCTGGGCATGGATCCACCAGGGCTCTGCTCTGCTGACCTTTCGCCTCTGCCCTCACCAGAGAGCCATGAGCACACAGAGCGCTCCGAGGGCAGGAGTCCACAGCTCCAGCTGCTTCCTTCTGCTCCTGCTGCCACCACAATGTCATAACATTTCCTGACAGATTAGCAGCAAGCCCCTAAATCCTTTACTCCATCACTCTGCTCCTTGAGTCCCAGAAATATTTACATCCTCCTCTCTCTGTATTTCCAAACTTCGGCTTGAACCTTCCCCAAGAACATTCTGGGTTGTTTTGGTTTTTCTTTCCTGACAATTTATTAATCTCCCCTATCCTTGCCTCTTTGCCTGCAGCAATTACAATCAGAGGACAGCAATACAGAAGTGGCAGTGCTAAAAACAGATGCCAGCAGGAAAGCAGGAAACTGAAAAACAGGAGGATGGTTTTCTACCAGGGAGATGACAGCACCAGGAAAGGCTGGGGGGACATGTACAGACAGAACTGGCTCTGAATGCAAACCACTGTCTCAGCCACATTCACAGGCTCTCACCCTGAGTCCAACATAGGACTCTGCAAGCCACAGGGCCAGTTACCACAGCAAATCCTGACTTAATGTCAGAGAACTACCACCACCAGCATGGTGCCACCAAGCACCACTTCCACTGCTACAGCCAGACACCAGCAGCACTTTTCAAACACACGTAGCAAACACAAATTATTGATCTGAAGGGAGTTTCTGCCCACACACAGCACAGCACACCATCCACCTGCCATGAAACAGGGCTAAATTGCTTATCTAGCACTATTTGTAAATTCACTTGGAAAAAGGTATTAGATTATGATTTGTACACAGGAGACTCTTATAACCACAAGTCTAGGCCCTTGATACCAGGAGACCACTAGAAACCACTGTGATATAGCTATGCAAGAAATGCACTCAAACAGAAAAAACTATAGTAAGGGAGGCCTTACCATATCATCTTGGGTTGGATCATTGTCAAAAATCTTCATGGGAGGAGGAAGAGGAGTGTGAGACTCTTCATCTGCTTCGTCTTCTCCCCAACCTTTCTTGCTCTTCTGAAGAAAAGTTAAATACAATTAGAAACAGGGACAGGATCCTTTTATCTTTTCAGTTCAGTATCGTGTTGGAAGGAGGGAATTACAGGTAATGGAAGAGAAGCAGTAAAGACATAATGTTTTGCTGGTTAATCCTGGTGCATTCTAAGGCTTACAGAAACACAGTTTATAGGTCATTCATACAGCTAAGGCAACTACATCTGTCTGTGTACTGACAGAATAGTAGTTTTTTAATTTAAATAAAAATGGTTTAATGTACATTTTTAAAAATGTGTTCCTCTTATTTGAGTTCAGTTAGTACCTTCTGCATTTTTGGTTTTTAAGTCCTCATTCACTTTATCAGGAAAGTGCCATTCTGGTGGAGAACATGCCTGCAGAAAAACTGCAGGTACAGCTACACAGCAGATTGAACAGAAACATGGCTATTTCTCGGAGTATTTTCATTCAATAAGGAATTACACTGCCATGGTAGCATAAAGGGGATATGAACCTCAGCAGAAACTGTTAACAGCTGCTCAAGAATAACTTCATTTCTGTCCATGGCAGCTTTCTAGTAGGCTATTAAAAAACTTAATCAAAGGACAATAACATATGCAAACTATGAAGCACTATTCCTTATACATTCCATTTCTCTTTGGATGATAAAGCTGTTTGCACCAATGCAATTTTATGTATGATTCGCTGCTCCCTGCAGACCCTAAGGGAGTTGCATTTACTCAAGCATGACTCACACCCCACGGAGGAGATGGTATTTCCCGTAACAAACGCCAACAAACACCGGCACACACCTCATCTGCGCTGTCTCCCTGAGGAGTGGTTTCATCTCCAGTCTTTGGTGAGCCAAGGTCAAAGCTCTTCCTGCCATCCCGCACCTTCTTCTGTTTCTTGATGTGGCTCTCGGTCTTGCCGCTGTTCAGGCGGCGCACGGGGCTGGTCAACCATTTCTTCAGGGTGTTGGTCGAGCGCTTGGGGCCCGGAGAGCTCTGGATGGAGTTGAGGGATGGCTGAGGCTGTAGGTTGGCCACGGAGTCAGACTTGCCCCCGTTGTCGTTGGCAGAGACTGAGTACGCGTCTGCAAGGAGACGGCGCAGGTGAGACCTCATCCCTGAGCAGCCCTCTGCTCCCGCGGCACCCAGCACCACAGTACTGCCTGCCTTGGGGAAAGGCTTCGTGACCTATGGACTTTATGCAAACTTTATTGCACGCCAGAGAGAGGAATATGCCCTGCAATGGGCATTTCCCACAATCTCACACGCCTCCCTCATTTCCTACCACGCTATCTGTCCTTATGAAAGATCGCAGACAGCGGAGGTTTTTATATGCAGGGTATTATTCAGGTTTTTTTATGGAAGCCTGATTTTCATGCTAAGTGCTGAATTTCTCAGCTTCTTCCTACAATTTCATTGTGAATTGCCAGGAAGAAAATAAGCACAAAAAAAGAGACCTACTACAGGAGACCTGACAGCCACCAACACATTGTCAGGTTCCATAATTGTTTCTCAGCTGTTTCCCGACCCCAATGACATGATTTAGTTAGACTACTTATTAACTTTGAAGCACCTTAAAATTATCTCCTTTGCCTTTGAAAGCAATCTGCCAGAAGAGTTCACAAATTCGCTAGAACTAAGAAACTGGAATTACAAAAGGTGACAAACTGTTCAAACCAAAGGAAACTCTCAATAAGGTTTAAAATTAAAAAATAGTTTCATTATACGGAAGCAGGAGGTTCTGCTGAACTGCATCCAACCTCAGTTACTGATACACATGTTCAGACTGGCACCTTAGAAAGGGCTGCAACCTTCCTTACTCCCCCCAAATGCAACAGACCAAAGATGTGCCAATGTCAGTGAGGCTTTAAAACCAAAACAAACAAGTTGCTCAAAGATTTCCCAATTGCCCTTCAGGAATAAGTGCTCTGCTTTCAATTTTCTGAAACCATGTTAAGGCAACTCCCTCCCCTCCCTATTAGGGTCTCAGATGTTTAATCCCCACACAGTTTAAGATGAAGACGTTTTACAAAATTCAGACACTGTGACACTCCTTTAAGAAGCATCTCAGGCTGTACATCATAAAAGAGCCAACTAATGTGATTAAACATTTTTACATTGTTATCTCTGAATCTTTTATCTGTCCCAGCAGAAACCAAAATCCTAAGTTACAACACATGAAAATAAACTGCTGCACCCAGATATTCTCAGTTCAGCAATAAATACCACTAGAGATGCTGGGTTGTACACATGCTGAGGGAGAGCTACTCTTGCAGAGAATCACTACCTCTATTGTTTTAGAAGCCAGTGCCTGCTACCTGCATGAAGAGATCATACCCCCTTTGGGCAGAGCTGCTGCTTGCAGCTGTCTGTGCATGGAGCAGAGATTGCATCCTGCCTTGTCTGCCAGTTTGCACAATGCAGACCAGGAGAGTCAGAATGTTTTACAGCCATACACAGCATCAGTCAGAAGTTGAACCAGTAAGTTATTACATACCTGAGGTCAAAGGTTAAATTTTAGAACATACAGAAATAATTTTAACAAGCTAGAGAAAGTCAAAGTTCACTTCCCAGACAAGAAGAAAATCTCAATCATCTGTTTTTTGACAAAAGGACTGAGTGCAAGAGGAACTGAGAGGAGGACAGGTTCCAGGTGGAGCTGATCCCAGGTGGAGCTGCTGGGGATTTTGTGGCATTCCTCTGTAAGGGCAAAGTAGCAGTCTTATCTCCAAAAGGCCTGGGGTTTAGCCAGCTCCTGCTGATGTTATTTCATGTACACGAAGTAGCGCTAAATCAACGAGTGACAGATACTGTTTGTCAGGGGCCAGCTTATCTTCCACTCAACAGGCTCTGGATAGCTCTCCCTGCAGGCTCCACGTGATGCTCTGCGAGTTTATCAGTGCCCTTGCGTCAGCAAAATGCAGGGTTTCACCATGGTGGGTTTGATTTTCCAAGCGCCCTCGTGGCCCTGGCGGCACTGAAAGCCCCACAGGCAGTGGGGGAAGCTGGAGGGTTCTTGGCCAAAGGGCTTTGCTTGGTGCCCAAAGGTGCCCTTGCTCCTAGTGCTGCTGCAGGAGGATGAACTTTGGGAATTCCTGCAGCAAAGGGAGCTGGGCTGCAGTCAGAAGGAGAAATGCTGCGGGGCTGCTACTCCAGAGATGGTTTGGGGTGAGAAGATGCATCACAGACTCGCTGCCTTTGCTGGGGACTGGGCTCAGTGGGAGGCAGAGGAGAACCAAGGGTGAGCTGATCTCACCACATCTCAGCTGATGAACAGAGAGGTTTTTACTACACCTTGTAAGTAACACAGTCCAACCCCCACCTCCAGTCCACAGCAATTGGACTTAAAGTTAGCCTCACTTCCCTTACCAAAAGTTAAATTGGTAAAATTGGTTAAATTCCCTTCATTAGCCTCCCTTCCCTTACCAAAAGTTAAATTTGCCAATTTAACTTTTGGTAAGGGAAGGGAGGCTAATGAAGCCTGAGACAACCCCAAGAGTTTGTTACTGAGATGCCAATCCTATCTCAGTCCAGTGGGCTCAAGGCAGGCCCAAGTCCAGGAACCCTGATGCCTGTGAAGGGGCAGGAACCTCTCTTCCCAGAGGGAAACACCCCAGAATTTACCAGCAAGGTCAGGCCTCAGCCTTGCTGCTTCCCTCTCCTTTGCCCAGCAGCACAGCCACAGCTGGGGCATGGACAGACACACAGCACCTCTCCTGCCATGGCACTCTGCTCAGCTGTCCTGGGGAAGTGATGGTCAGTAATCCTGTCACTCCCAGGAAGGCAGCACATGGGCAGAACCAGTCCCAGTCCCAAGCTGGCCCACAGCCCACCCTGCCTGCTTCTAATAATTTTGACACCCAGATCCAGGAACCCTCTGCAGATTGAACATCAGAGTTTCAGAGTCACCAGCCATAAGAAAAGTCAGCCCACAGTTTTCCAGAGGGAGGCTGTTAACACTGTCCAATGATCCCACCGGAAAAGGCTCTGGATTTTCCTGCTCAAGGTCATGCCTTTGGTGATGAAAAAGGCTGTTCACCAAAGGGTTACTGCATGCTGGTCATGCCATGCAACCCCATCAGATGTGAAGTCCCTCTCCTTCTCCTTGTCAGCTGAACTGCTCTGGCTGAGCACAGTAAGGCATCTGGGACAGAGCCCACACTTTGCCTGGCCCATGCAACCCAAGACTGGAAACATGGCCTTATTTTGCCTGGTAAGGCAGTCTCTGCTGGCTGAGGAACAGGCAGGGAGGTGGGAGAGAAAGGCTGGCATGAATTTCCCTTCTCCCCAGCCACCATGAGAGTCCTCTGACGTTGGGTGACTTTTATCTCTGCCCATGCCCTACACTGGTACAAAGCACTTCCATCTCACCATCCCAATTCCCACTGCTACCAAACATGCCACACCAAGAATTCACATAGAATGTTCATAACCTTTTTTTTTTCTTTTTCAAAGGAACTGCAAATTTGGGTACATTTATGAGCGAGTCACATTTGCAGTTTGCCGGCCCTGGTGAGAATAATCTCCTTTGCACATAAAGCAGGTCACATCAACATGGTTGCAGAGGCAGGACTGGAGCTGAAGGAAGAGCAGAGCTCACAAAATGAGAGAAAGAAACAAGAAGCACAAAAAAAAAATCTGCCAGGAAAGACCTTGCAGACAACCTCCTGAGCCACGTGAGCTCTGCTCTGCAGCACACATGGCTACAAACACATTAATCATGACACTCGATACTGGCCCGAGACCCAGACACCAGGTGGATCGAGCGGAAGAGCAGGACGCGTTACCGTGCTCTTCTTGCAAAGCAGTAGCACATATGTGCTTTGCAAACTGCATTAGGAGAGCTCTTTGGAGACAGTTTGTTTAAGAAAAGCCAGGGAGCTTTTGGGAAAGACGCAGCAGCTCAGTGCATGATAAGCAAGGCAGCTGCTGCTGCCCGCAAGCACCAGCGCAGCAGCGGCTGTCCTGCACTGCAGCAGCTCTGCCTTGAGGAGCTCTCCTCCCACCAATGTCCCAGGACACACGTCTAAAAAAAGGTATTTGGTGAAGCAAAAAGGGTGTAGGAAGGTCAGCAGACTCATGTGGCTAGATTGATTTCCTGGCCAAACCATTCATTCAGACAGAAGAAATGATGGTTTCCAAAACACCCCTAAAGCAAACCTCCAAGAAACTTCTGGCAAGAGGACTGTGAGAGATACTCAGCCAGACCAAAGGGCTTTAACATTCAGAGCTTCTGCCCTGCTGCAGCCATGAAATGTTTGTTATTGTTGGTCAAATGAACAGACATCTGTAAAAGCACAGCTCTTGTACTTGAAAAATAGAAGGTTTCAGTTCAGTGCAACCTTGGGTAAAAAGAAAAACTAAAATCTCATAGACCTGGTTTTAGAGGCACAATAATATTCTCATTTGAGTCAGTAGGAATTCCTGTTGGAGCATAAACACAAGGCATTTTATTTTTACCTCCCTGTTCCCCAGAGCACACATGGGAGAGGAGGTTTGTCTGATCAGGCTCAGGCAGTACCAGAGTCCTTTGCAGGACCTCAGATCTCTAACAGGGGAAGGAAAAGGCTTCTCAGAGCAACTCAGAAGAAAACATCAGTCTACTCTATTTGATACATAATAATTACAGATCATAAAGGATAGGAATGAAATATCCATAACTAGAAGAAAATAAAGAATATAGCTATAAAAATAGGAGACTAGAGTAGGGCATAAGCTTGCTTTAAGTGACATGAATCCTCTTCTGATTTATCTATGGCTCCATTTACATCCCAGAAAAACAGCCTGAGAGAAGAGGATTTTTCCACAAAAGTCAAAGAAAATGAGCCAGAATGGGAACTCTTAAGTCCTACTAGCATGTGCATTTAAATCAACAAGTTTTATTTTACAGAGTTAATGCCACTTGTGAATGAAAGCCAATAATGACAATCTGATTGATGAACACATAAATCAGCTCTGCTGTGATAAATAGAGCCCATTTTCTACATTCAGTGGTTCCTGTCACCACTTATGACAAAGACAAAATTTAATCAGATGTGGGTAAAAGACTAACTCAGTCTATACTCGAGTAAATTTCCTAAAGAATGGGAATCTCCATCCCGGAAAATCTTGGACAGCAGGAATCATCTGGACTCATCCTGTGCACAAACAAAGCCTCTGTGTTAGTATTTCACACTAAACAAAAAGAACCATCTAAACCATCAAAATGCACCTTCTCCTGCCCTTTCCAAGAGCACCTCCATGATCATCCAGGCTGCAGGTTCCAGTTCACAGTTCTCAGCCCCTTGAAGCTTTATTCTCTCCCTTGGGAAATGCTGCCTTGAGAGTCCCCTTGGATCTGCTCAAGGGATTTGGGACTAAAGCTCTACCTAATGGATGCAAAGATGGCAGAATGAGGTATGAACACTGCTCCTTTGGTCTCTTCTGTGCTTTTGTACTGAATGTCCAAAACATGCTCAGTGAAACATTTTTATTGGCACAAGTCAGGGTTACAAAACTTTGTGGCTTAGGCAGATGACAGTACTGGTCCTGGTTTTAGTGTTAGAGCCCATTCTGCCTGTAAAACCTGGCATGGATTTGCAAAAGTCTGGGAGGCAACAATATTTGGATAATACAAAGGCACTTTACGGCTATTCCTTTAGTAAAAACACTAGGTGTTAACAATGTAAATAATGTATCTTACAACATCTAATGTCAACAGATACGTTGTCTCCTCAGACACATCCTCTGAAAAAGGCTCTAGTGAAGAATATAAGTGAACACAAGCAAATTTTCAGTGGCCATGTCAGACAAAGACAGAGGACAACTGGCTTGAAAAGCCCTTTAGATTAGAAGTACATCAAACTTTCGCGATGGAATTGCAAAACGTGCCCTGGAGACTTCCATCCTCTCCCAGCTCTGCTCAGCAGCTCCACACGTGTCCAACCACAGACCTGCCCTGCGCTCCAGCTCAAGCTAAAAATGAGATGGGACCATGTAGAAAAGAACTTCACACCAGAGGCTACAGACATGTTCAAACTATGCCACTGAAATCTAAATGCAGATTTTGTTCAGAGATTCAAATGCTCTCCCTAAATTCATAACCCCCTGGAAATGAGCAAAATGAGAAGGTTCAATTGAATTTTCTGTTTATCATTTGAAGCTTCAAGCTGGAAGTAGCATCAAAAGGTAAAAATCAATCTGGCAGGACTCTCACAACTCCACTTATATGGATGAAATGACTTCTGTCCAAACTCAAGAATAATGGCATGGAGTTAAATATTTTACAAAAAAAGTTTCTAGTCCAATAGAGGAAGCAGCAGACATATTGGACAAGCTTTCTGATCACTGTAATGTAAAACCTCAAAATCTGACTTTCTGTTTCATTGCCAAGCATGCAAACATGACTTACTTCCAAAGAACAGGGGAAAAAAGGACTAGAATCTGAATTAATCACACAACATTTAGAACACACTGTTTTGCTATTGAATAGCTCTCATTTCTTGGAAATATGTAAGAAGAGCTGCTTTGAGATAGAGAATGACCTGCAAAATTCCCTTTAACCACACTGCAAAGCAGGGGATGCTCCAGAGGGATTTTGCATATGGGTTTGGTCTTCGGGAAACAGTCACCAACCTGTTGGCTTCAATATTCAGCTTTCTGATCATTACTTCAGGTTGAAACCTAATGTGAGGAAAACAAGCACTCACCCAGCTGGGGTGAGTAAACACTGTCACTTGGAGCCACTCATTTCCGAGGCAGGCAGCAGCTTCATCTGCTGCTCTCGGCAGTCAAGGAGCTGTGCAGGCTCTGCCCAAGGGCGCTGCAGAGTGGAACACACCCCCTAGGAGCCTCTCTCTTTCCATTAACTACAGAGGGAGTCCGAGGAAATTATACCCTCAGCTAAATTTAGTTATTGTGAATCCCCTTCCCACATCTGAGTACGTTCCATACCAGGCCGATCTCGCAGCAGGGAATGATTAGCTGAAGTTAAGCATCTGTCAATTCACTTTAATGAGCAATAACTCGTGGCAACCTGCCATTAGCTTCAGTTGAATAGCTTTTATTTTTAGCTGGTGTTGCTCAGATGCAGCTTCCATCCAATATGTGCTGGGAAAGCTGACATCCCAAAGTAGTCTCCAGGTCTTCATTGTGCCAGTCGGAGTGTCAGGGCTCAAGAGCTGCAGTTCCTGGAGGTCAGAGAAAAGTCACTGCAGTTCTGGGAAAGTTTCAAAGAGTGAGATAAAACCAAAAGCCTGGAGAAACAGCACAGAGGCGCATGGTCCCCAGAGACCTTGCAAGAAAAGTTACTGAAATCCTGAGAGCGTGCTGAATGAGTGAGCTGGGTCTCCAGGGACAGAAACAGCACAAGGGGAAGGCACAGAGAGAGAAAGCCTGCTGAAATAAAACATGACTTCAGTACTGTCCAAGAGTGCCCAGTGAGAGGAACAAATGCACAAGCTCTCTATTGTATCTGCTGCTTCATGTGGATCTAGGCTTTTATCAGAGGTGACCATAGGGAGGGCAAGGGGAAAAGAGCAAGATGAGTCCTCAGGTGAATATAGGGCAGGGTCTCATTTCCTCTAGAAAGGAAACCCAGTTTCAGTCAGGAGCTGCTGCTGAAGCAGAAGGCTAAACATGAAGGCAGAACATGTGTTTGTGCCTCCAAAGAGACCCTCAGGAAAGTGTTCAACTCAGCCCCATGGCACCAAGTGCTTGACGAGCAGCTGGAACACCTGAGGTCCTTCCCTATGAGTGTCCTGCTTTGCAATGGGTTTCCACAGAACAGCTTAAAACTGTTATGGGTATCTACAACTTCTCTTGCTGGAGGTTTGAGCCTTTTTGTCTCCATGTACCAGCCTAATTCTTCCTGCTTCAGACTCCCATCTGAGCCCCACATAAGCTGCTGTGAATTCATAATAAAAATAATAAGAGGACAAATATTCAGAGTGAATCCACCAGCTCCTATCCTAAACCACTGTGAGACACGAGGCAAGGCAGGGCAGCGACAGACCTTCAGGGGAACCTTGAAGCAACATCTTTTTAGAACACACTTTTACTGCATAAAAAGCTGTGGAAAAGCTCAGAAATAGAGCAGTTGCCCCACACAGGAGAGTTGGAGGCCAGATGCAGTATCTGTGTGCATTTGACTTCATTCACCCATTCCCCTGCCTCGAGTTTGTGCTCAGCACAGGTCCCAGGCCAGCCCTGAGCACAGTGACAGCAAGTCCCACACATCTGCTGGGAGTGCACATTGGAGCAGCCTTCCTGTAATGCCTCACAGCTGGCTGAGCTCATTGCTCAAGTCAAGAGGCATGCATTTCTTCAGCAAAGAAATGAAATAAAAAGTCAAGACTAACAAGATCCAGAAAGGGCATGCTTTTTTTTTTTTTGAACAAATCAACATTTATTTCAATGTAGTGAAACAACTTGTTGAAGCACTTCTCTCAGTTCTACTTTACATTTTGTATTTACACTGTCCTCATTCTGTGACAAAAATAAAATAATCTCCAACCCTGAAGTTTCCAGAATAAGTGTCGCTAGCAGCAAAAATAACAAAGCCCCAAACACAAAGCAAAAATCCCACTTGATATATTTTGATGGGAGATTTTTGCATGTTCCATAAAAAAATTTTAACCCTGAAACTTTATGAAAAGCTATATGGGATGACAAGGAGGAAAATGTAATGTGTTTGAAGCTGAACGAGAGCAGCATTTGCTGGCCTTTGCAAGTACACTGTTACTTTTAGCATAAGGAACTGTGAAATGCTTAGACACCCACATAGAAGCAGACTTTTAAACTTGGATCAAAGCAGTTCTGCTCTTCTGGGAGCGTAAGGGTACTAGAGTCAGCAAATGCCATCTTTTATCCTGGATGTTGGGCACAAAAACAAACTTTATTACACATGGTTTCCAAGCAGCTGTTAGTAAAACACAAGCCTTATTCTTTTGTCAAGTGTCAAGGGTCAGCTTCATTCAGCAACTTCCAAATTGAGCTACTGTAAGAATTTTGAAGTAATTTCTCAGTTAAATGACATCATTGCTAAGGTCAACTCTGCCTTATAGTTGAAGTCAGCAACCTCTGTGACAAGGTGGACCACTCTGTTAAATGGGGGGAGAGAAGACAATGATGTTTGAGTATCATATTTAGGTCTCCCTATCTCAAAGGAAGCTGTAGCTATGTACCCAAAAATTCTCCACGGAAACAACAAAAGAGTATCAGTGACAAACTTGGAATTGGAAAAATAAAAAAAAAAAAGCAAGAACAGAACCCAAAGCTTTTTGGGATAGGAAGAAAAACTGCATGTTGAGAAAGAAGGGATTGGTTATTAAACTTTCCAGGCACACAGAGGGCTCGGAAAGCACAGAAAACAAGCAGAACAAACAAACACAACTGTGTGCATCTTTGCATCAGCTTCTTTTGCCAAATGCAGTAGCTTCCAACATTCAGCAGCTGCCTCTTGCTTTCTAGTGCTGTGGAGTTCTCTTTGGTACTTGGAGGCTGTGAGGAGCTCCGGGCAAAGAGAAAGTCTTTGTCCATTTACCAACCAATTCCAAAGGCGCTGATCTTGAATAACTTTACTAAGCAAGAGTGACACAGATGTCTAGGAAAGGGGACTTTTCTCTTAGTAAAGTTGTGGTAGGTGCAGTGGAAACCCAAGGCAATCTACAAGCTTGTCAATTTGTGCCTAGGTAAGAACAGAGTCCTCCATGAACGTCTCTCATTTGTTCACTCTTAAATTATTCAGGCTCTGACAGCCCCTGAAAAGAAAAGAACGGAATAAGGATAAGTTGCAAGTGGCGCAGGGCAGGAGCGGACACCACGAAACCACCAAGAACAACGGGGTTGGGGTGTTTGACAACAGACACACTGCAGCTGCAGCCTCCAGGGCTGGAGCCCAAAGCAGCTTCCTCCACACCCTTGTCCTCCAGAAATGCCAGCAGGAAATACAAGCTCACAGCAAAGGTACTGATTGGGATGAGTTAAAAGGAGGAATGAATGCAGTCAATGCAAACAGCGGTTTGGAAATAAAACACACAGATAAGAACTGCTGGTGCTTGTGACACTTTGCTCTTTGAACACAGCACAGGGAGATGGCTAAGCAGCTCGGAGACTTTTAACTGCACACTCAAGACTATCAGTTAGGCTTGTGGGAAGCTTTAATTCATTCAGCTTAAGTAGCAAAACCAGAACACCACTTGCTGTCCCATTTAACAGGCTCACACTATCTGCGTCTTGGTTTTCCGTTTGACAGCTCGGCAGGGAGTAGCTCTGTGAGGAAGCTTCCCTGTGATGCCAGTCAACAAGTTTATCAAATTTCAGGTGACAAAGTCACCACTACACTCTATCTGCGTCAGCAAGAAAGATGGACAGGAACGTGAAGTCTCAGAGAGCATCTGCTACATGGGAACAGGAGAGCTGGCTCTCTGCAGCACCCTGCCGAGGTCTCAGCCCTCTGAAGCTGTGCCAGTGCCTTGACCCAGACACCAGCCTTCCCAGTGAGGCTAGTCCTAAGGAACTGATTGATTGTGACTTCTGAAGGGCCACACAGAGCCACCCACAGCTTTTATGGTGCCTACATCATTGCTCCTTACCAGCAGCCTCCTTATGGGAAAAACCCCCTACATCCAGCTTTGCAGAGATGTGGAGAGGTGCCCTGCATGAAGTGCTTCATTCCCTTCTCCATCACCGAGTCTCATCACAAACAGCTGTAAAAATGCTCTACCAAGCAACATGTCTAATAAACTTTCATTACAAAAGCCATCTTCTCTATTGCTGGGTGGTTACTTTCTTTTGGCTCCATCTTTCAAAGGAAGCAGGAAAAAGAAACACTTGAACACAACAGCAAGGATTAGTAGCAGAGGCTCTTTGATTCTACAAAGGCTTTGTTGAATACAGGTGACCTGTTAGTGCATTTTAAGATGTCTGATCACAGACATCACCTGCCTGACAGTTTATTATCTCCAGGACAAGTGACTGCAGGGAATATTCAGCAAACATCAGCCTTTCAATGTTTGTCTGGAGCTTGCCTTGCTGTAGGCTTGTCTTAGCCACACTGCCAGATCAAATTTTACAGCAACACAGCTCTGAGCAGCTACTACCCTGCCATGAGCAGCCTGGAACGCTCAAGCCTGGGTAATTTCTCTGATATTAAGACAAAGTCAACTAAGATGCTGCCCTCTGCTCAGCACCTGCACCCTGGCAGGAGCTGTGCTCTGCTAATGAGGAGCTGAAGTTACTGCCAACATTCAAAGCATTTGAGTCCTTCTTGCCTAAAGCTACGATTTTCCTTCTGCCGTCCCAGAAAGAATCTCTGTTGATTAATATTTATTTCATTTCCTAAAGAAATCTATTCAGTCTCCACATGCTTCAGCTGACAGCGATGTTTGAACATTGTGTTGATCCTCAGAGTTCAAACTGTAGAAGGCACAAAGAATACCAGACTTGAGGCACTTCAATGGTATTCACTGTGAATCATCATTTTACATTGTACCACTCAGACACATTTGGATCCAAAATACATTTGCATTTCTAATTAAAACAGATTACCATTAGTAACTAAAGAATGTCTTAAATCAGAATCCCTAGGCCATAAAAGCTAATTGCACGATGCTAAAACTGGATTTCAAAAATATACATATTATACCCCCTGCAGGATTAATTAAGCAACATCTCTTCAAAAGAGTCCTCAAAAGTGTATTTATTCAGCATGCGGTGAAATTATACCGGTTGTGCAACGCTTCCCATGGCCTGCCTTGGCTCACGCTCCCGTGGCAGCAGAGAGCTGGAGCCTTGATCATCAGGGGAGCTCAGCATGGACAGGCTGGATTCAGGACTGCAGTCCATGAGCAGGGACACACACTGCAGGAGCTGCTGCTCTGGCCACGATCAGCCAGCACCCTGGAACGGGGTGATCTGGGGTACATGCATGATGTGCTGCCCAGGACATGCAGGCCCACAAAGAGGCTGAAATCAACTGGTCAGTATGAATCTGGAAGCTCTAACTGCTGATGATCTGATGCTCAGTTGGTCACTGGTTTCTAAGTGCTGACTGAGCTGTAAAGTGTTTTCAGAGAGGCTACGGCTGTACCACATGTCTAGAGGATGTGAGAACCTCTGCTCACATGTGCCTTATGTGGGAATGGGATGAGGAGAAAACCCAACAGAGTCTAAGAGGTCCTTGGCTGCTACAGTCTCTAGCTGTAATTGTCAGCAAGCCTCAACTGCATGAAAAAGTGTCCTCAAAAGATTTAGCTATAGCTGGGGATGTGCCACTCCCAGCTTTCTTCTGTGCTCTGAGCTGCTTGCTCCATGTGAAACATGAACATGGAAAAATTCTCAGAAAATGGCAGAGACTCCTCCACGGTCACTAAATCCAGTCTCTTAGAATCACAGTCCATCACTTTTCCCAAATGTTTACTTCAATGTTTTCTTGTGTAAGTGAACACGAGACCTTTGCTCAAAGCTCACACATAGACTGTACTTGTGCTTTCCTGTACACAGCAACTTTAAATTTCCATGTTTAACTCGCTTCCAATACAAAAGATAACAATCTCCAGAAGAAACCACCTACTGGTTCCTCAGGATGATGTTTGCTAATGGGTTCCCAGCAGGTCTGGCTCCCAGGCTTCACCCCTTTATGGAACTTCACAGCCTGGAATATCATTTTGCAGGGGATCCAAGATTTCAAAGCGGTTGAGCTGTCCCAGGACTTGCAATGGCTGTACCACATGGGACAACCAAGTGCACTGGGGGGCAATAAGGGCAACAGGATAGCAATTACTGATTCATCATGTGGCAACACAAAACCTGAGACACTTTTTCCATTTCCCAGAAGTAGCCACGGTTTCTGTACAGTAAAGGAGCACCCACGACCACTGGGAAGTACTGGGAGGTCAGGGAGTAAAATCCAGTCAGAACCTTCTGCAACATAATCTTATGTGTGCTACATTATAAAAAAAAAAATAAATGACAAATACATAAACTGAAGTGCATATAATGGGTTTCTCCCCATCAAAGAGAAGAACCCCTATGGCTTTTCTATTATTAACTGCTGCAATTCAGCTTGCAGGTTCTAGTTTTCATCTCATTAGAACTTCACTGGAGACATTTTCATATTTTGCCCTAATTATATGAAGGGAGCCCAGGTGATGTGTGTGATTCCCAAGTTCTCAGCCTGCTCAGGAGAGCATTGTGGGGCTGGTCCAGGACTGAAGGAATGCAAGGCAAGTCAAACTCAACAGGAGACCCAATGGGGTGCACTAACTACCTTTAACTCAAGGACCGGCTTGTGTTTCAGCATAACCAGCCACATCAAACAACAGGAGCTAAGAGCAAGCACATTAATTTTTGTTCTGTGGTTTTCCAATGGCACAGAATGGTCAAGGGAGATGATTTCAAGCTTATCTCATTGGAGATAATCTCATTATTTTCTAATGATTCTTGAACTCCTACTTGTGATCTTTGCATCTTTTTAAAGAAAATATCCAGATGTGCTTCTATAGTTATATTAAAAATTAACTTCATATGACACAGAATTGTGCGATGCAATATTAGCAATTGAACTCTTCTGCAATAGCAACTGATGCAGTGGCTAAACTGGCAGAAAATTGGATTTCCTTACTGAACTGAAAACCACAGGATCTGTAGATCCCTGCTGTAATCACTAACTGCCCAACCAACTCCTCTCTTTTGAAAAGAAATTGCAACTTTTGCCAAATATGAAAATGCTTTCATAAAGCCTGTTAACAGACAAGAATTAGACTGAAATGTAACAGTGCTCTGGTGTGCTTGAGAAGTATCTTGATGCTATTTTTAGAATGACAACTTTGGAACTTTGGGAGGTTTTGAGTTTGAAATGATAGATTAGTTTTCCTAATACACACATAAGTTTTAACAAGGTGTGTGCTGAAATATAACAGTTTGGGAAAAAACCCAAACAAAATCTTTCTGGGGTCATGTGAAATAACTGCCCTTTTTGTTTCACTTCAAAATGGAGAGATTTTATTTCAGCATCCGTGCATTGAATTCCTGAACAATACATCTATCTGGCACTTATTTTATAGGAAAACAGCATGTTTAATTACCCCACGTCCTCATACTGAGCAGGGAGAGTTATCCAAGCTATATTTTTCACAATTATCTGTTCTCTTTTCCTAAGAATAAAGTCTCCTTTCTTCAGATTTTTGACAAGATGAATAAAGCCTTGTGGGTTCTTATATACTCCTTGGAGTAAAGGGGAAGTTTTGGAGCTTTGCCTGCATAAAAGCAAATCCCATGTTTCTTTAAAGCTGGACAAATTCATAAAAGTTGAAAACAACGTAGCAATCTGAATAATAAGGATCCCCACCACATATTCACACCCAGACCAGTAACTGAAAGCTGATGTTTACAGAAGCTCTGGATACCTCTTTTTCACACATGAATTAATATCTGAAAGTTTACTTTCTCTACCACTTCTGTTGCATCTTGTATATAACCACATGTAAAGAGGCTGCAAGATCAGTCACAACAGGGAGACACGAAGCCAGAGGCTGAGGAGCCAGCTTGTATCAGGAGAGTTAGAGCTGCCTAGCAGTGCGTGTAACTTTCAAGAGAGAAAATAATAACAGTGTTATTGCTTGGATTTTGGAAACTGAGAGAAAGTTGCTAAAGCATCCCAACACTGGCACTGACATGATAAACATTTGATTTACAGAAAGTGGCTGGTGGCATATGAGAGCAGTGAGCACAGTGTCATGTGCAGCAACCAGCACTTCTGAAAAGCTCAAACATTCTGTGCTCTTGGGCAGTTTATTTTTGACAGTAATACAGACCCACTGAAAATGTGACCTGCTGTATCTGTGAACAAGGTTCCTACCCTCAAGAAGCCCTCCTGCAAACAGGTAAGATTTAACAACACTAAGTAATCCTACAAGGAACTCACAGCCTGCCAGCAGAGCAGGGTCCATGCTTCTCCTTTGACTGTCCGTACTCAGATGTTACTCATCAGCCCCAGGACTTCTCCTGAACTACTCCTATGTTTCATTGCCACACAAATACTAAGATGTTCAGATTAGTGAGGTTCAGAATATTTACCACAAAACGCTGGCATGGGGACTGTCAGTCATGCTTTAGGGACATGCTTAACTGAGAACTGTGCGTCAGGAAGGTGTAGAGCAGGTGTGAGAAAGCAGTTTCACACCAACAAAAAGAGTGATTTTTTAAATTTTTTTTTGCTAACAGTATTCACCTTGTCACGTTAATCCTGCTTGCTCAACTGAGCAGCATTTTCATCAACTCTTTTGTCCCTTCCAATAACTCTCTGCTATGACCTATTCTGACTCCTGACTCAGCCTGCAGAGGTGGGAAAACACAGGATTTGGAAGAGACGTTCCTGTCATGGGCTAACCAGTTTTCTCTTAATAGAACTGGAAGGAAACAACAACAACTCTTGCAAACCTCTCCACAGCCATTTGCTCATGAATTTGCCAGGACAAAGAGCAGAGCTCAACTCTGGCATGAGAGGGAGGGAGACTGCCTACAGAGGACCAGTACACTTGATCCTCTTAACTTTGCTGAGATACAACTAATGAGCAACAGATGGACATCACCCAAGGAGATTATTTGGGAAACCTAAGAGTTTCCTCATATTTCTCATTCAAGAAGGACCAGGAAGCTAAGCAAGCTTTGGTTGACACCCTTTATTTTACTATTGTTTTCTCCTCTGCCTCAATTTTGACAGAGCTGCTTTGGCCATGCATTCCATTATGCTTTACACAGTGCAACCAGGGCTCAGCCTGAAGCACTAAATAAAATATGTTCAAATTAGGAAATGTTATGGGCTTGAATATATTACTGCAGATCACTCTCTTGCTACCACTCAGCACAAAGGTACCAGTTCCCTTAGCAAAGCTCTGCACTCCCTGTAACAGTGTCAGCACCTTCTATAAAAAGCACCATCAGATCTCACTTTTTACCTAATGAAGAAATAACTTTTATTAATGTGCTGTTGACAGCCCTTGTGATGATGCTGGTTTTCTTAACTTCCAGTTAAGGCTCTGTTTCTGCCCAGCTAGAAAAGATGTACCAGGGTGGCTGGCTGAGCCCCCTTCACTGCACAGAAGTCATAACCACTCTGTCAGGACAAGCTTTCTTTGTTCATCTTACAGCAAAGATCCAGTAACAAACCAAAGATTTAGGCAAGAAGAGGGAAAGGAAGGAAGGAGAGAAAGAAAAAGAAGACATTAAAACAGAAAATTGCAGAAAGAAGACTGAAAGTGTAGGAGATAGAATCAGCTAGAGGGACAGAAAATTTAAAATAAGAGCTTTACTAGGAGCTTAGCACAAACAGAAACCCACTCAACCTTTCAACTTTAACACAGTGAGATTTAAGGTTTGACATTCAGATTGAGTTTCTTTTGTTCTGAAAGCAGAAGTTTGCAAACAACCAGCAGCCTACTCAGAGGAGCAACTTCTCAAGGAGGCAGAGGATGTGCTCTTTATCAAAGCCAACACAGCGCATCCCTTTAAATCCTCCTCCTGGTTTCTGGCTACCCTCAAGTAGAAACCATACTATTTTCTCACCTGAAGCCACACTGCAGCAAAATGTTACCCATCTGAACTCTAAAGTTACTCTGACAATTGATTACTTTTAACCACAGACCCTTTTCTTTGTCTGTACCTGGTACAGTCACAGCCAGCTCAAGCCCAGCAGATGGGAACATGTGTCTCCTTGTGCTCAAAGAAAAGCATTTCCTACACCTTGTTTGTGCTTTCCACCCTCTTGGTGTCCCTTAGGGCAGTGAGATCCCAGCGTGCTCCAGTTTGGGCTAGAATTGAATGAGCTGAACTACTGAAAAAAAAGTCCTCTAAATAAGGCCCTGAGTTTAAGGCAGCACGTAGAATTTAATTTCCAGGTTAAATCTGAGACACTGGTACTGTTTACAGCTCCCTGTGCATCAGAGCCTGGAATTTAGTCTCACCCAATGCCCATGCTCCCACTCACTGATCAGCTTCAGAGCCCTGTGCAGAAGGGAGGGCAGAGGAATGGCACTCACACACTGGCCTTGGCTCTGCGCTTAAAGGCAGCAAAGTTTTGATCTTCTCACACCCAAGGCATGCAGCTGCCCATTTGCTTTGGAAAAGACATTTCACAAAGAGGGAATCCCTCCCATGTCTTTATTTTCCCTCTTTTCCCTTTAAAAATAATTTCTAATCTGAGCCACACAGATAACTGAGAGGATAGACTTCATGTAAAAAAAAAAAAGTATATTCAATTGCAAATCCTGGGCTGATTTCTAAGGAGAGTTCAATGACTTTCTAGCTATGAGAAGACCATCAGAATTTGAACCCTCTTAACCAGGGACAGTTCTGCAGCTTTAAGAAGCATTCTGTTACACTAGTTCACTTTGCACTTCTGCATTTAGGAGATCCTGCAAAAAGCCTTGTTTGCACACTCTTAGCCACTAAAGCCACTGTCCTAAAGGCTATGCAAGTGTGCTGCTCCTCAAGTACCCCTTTTTATGGCTGAAAGCAAATGACAGACTCTTGCTCTGAAGCACTCCTATATTAGGATTCATATCTCTCTATATTGCAGAACAGAGAAGTACTCCTTATTTAGTTCCTGCAGGCAACTATCAGAGTAAGAGCAAAACTGCAAATGCTATTGTCACTGGCTTTCTCTGGATGGATCCCAATAGCTCTGTACATGGGCAAAGCTGACAAGATCAGAAACTCACCAAGAGAAACAAGCAAAAAAGCAGCATCTCTACTGCTGCAATAGACAGTGGAATACTAATGCAAAAGGGTTTGAGTCATCTTTCAAAATCCTTCAGAGAAATGCCCAGTTACACAAAACTTACGTATTTCATGATACACAGGGGACCTCGGGTTTGGGTTTTTTTCAGCTCTGCATTATTGCTGCTATTTAGGAGATCAAGCATCCACATCACTTCCAAGCTCCATGGAAAGCAATGATGCAGCTCACACCAACTGTCTGAGCACAAAACCTGTGTTTGACACAGAATGCAGGCTCATCTTCCCTATTTCTCTCACTGGACAGTTCTTATTCACACACCAAACCTACTGAGCAGTTGCAAAAGATCAAGATACATCAGGCACTGGCACCAGGAAAAAGCAGAGTCGAATTTCCAAAGAAAAAGGTAAGGTCAGCTACAGGGCAGCACTGAGAGCAGCTCTGAGATGCTTCACACCCACCTTTAATACAAACTACATTCACCTATTTGCACTGCAAGACTGAGATCAGTGAGGAGCCCTTGGATGAACAGTGTGCCCCCCAGGTGATTGCTGACAACACAGAATACATGAAGTTAGAGCTTCAGAGCCCTGGTTGCCACATGAAAACATCTCCAAGCTCAATGGGAGAAGTTGCCAACAAAGGCACACTGATGCTGTAATCTGCGGCACCTGAATCCCTTCTCAAATATAAGGTTTGGTACCTGCTTAAATTCAGGGAGTATTTCCACCATCTCTGGTTTTCTATAATAAACACAGCATGACAGACAGCCTTTTAGAACTTTTTGCCTGAAGTTTACAACCAAGGATAAGAAAGAAGTAAATCAATCTGTATCACAAAACACCTTTTGTTACCAACCCAGTAAACTAGAACTGCAAACACAGTTAACATTTCAACTGGAGAGAGAAGAGCCAGCTGTTACCCCTTCCCCCTTCTAGAGACCTCTGTAGGCAGGACAGGCAGCAGGGAGATTTTAATCCCTTAGAATCAACATTTTCAAGACCAGAGCCCTCTCACAGAGCTTGAATGCTGTTCCAGCCCCTGCTGCATGGGCCAACACGTTAAAGCAGGGGCTGTCCAAGAGACTTGGCTTTCCCAGTGGTTTAGTACCACGAGCTTTCTACAGGCAGCCCTACCCCTAAACCAGATTGCGTGTTCCTCCTTAAAGGCTGCAAAGCAGCGGGGTGCTGTGCACTGACCTCGAGAATCACTTCCTCAGCATGAGGTTGGGAGTCGTGAGTTCTCCCCAGGCTGAAACAGATCACATCTTACAAAGTAGTGGCAAACTCCATCACCAACTAGTTTGCTGCTGTCACCACATAAGTGTGACTAATTCAGTAACTTGGGAAAGAGGGCTCCTGCACTGCAAATGTGTGCCTCAAGAAACCAGCAGGCCCACCCATCCTCAATGTCATCTTTATCTGCTCTTTATTTGGGTTCCAGAGTTACCAAAAGACTGCATGTGAAAACTTTAGTTATTAAAAAAAAAAAAAAAAAAGGAACAAAACAAAAGCCAAGTTTTGTTCGAGACATTTTCTTTGGCCATTCAGAGAACAGGAAACATTGAGATCCCACAAGCAGATCTTTGAAAAACCTCACATTATCCAGAACAAGTCCAAAAGCCATATCACAGCATAAAGACTGCAGGCTGAGAAACCTTCAGTCAATGCTTCTGAGCTGTGCTGCTCCACATAAAAGCCAGATTTTGATTTTATTTTTACAAGGCACTCCAGCTGCCCTGGCTTTCCCACATCTCTCTCAGCATTTCAGCTCAGCCAGCTTCCCCAGACCTTCCCCCATCACCATTCAGAGATTTGTGAACTGTGAGAAACAGATGTTCTCAAAGCATTTTGCTCGTACTGGAGCCCAAGAAAGACCAGAAAGGAAAGGGGAAAAAAAATAATCATTTAAGCAAATATTTCTCCCCGCCCTATTGACCCTACAGTCGCAGAGAGTTTTCTACGAGCAATGCTAAAATGTACAACTATACTGCAAAACTGTATATATATATACATACTGTAAAACTGTGTCAACTCCTGCCCTCTCGCTCGCGGTGCTCGCTACCGGCTCACCCGCCGCTGTCCCCAGGTCCGGGGGCACCGCTGTCCCCCGCTGTCCCCGGGCCCGAGGGCACCGCTGTCCCCCGCTGTCCCCCGCTGTTCCCGGGCCCGAGGGCACCGCTGTCCCCGCTCTCCCCGGGGGCACCGCTGTCCCCCGCTGTCCCCGGGTCCGGGGGCACCGCTGTCCCCGCTGTTCCCCGCTGTCCCCGCTGTCCCCGGCCCGAGGGCACCGCTGTCCCCCGCTGTCCCCACTGTCCCCGGAGGGACGCTGTCCTGCCGAGGGCCCCGCAGAGCCCCCGACCCCCGCAGCGCCCCGGGCCAGGCTCCCCACACGCGGGCCCCACCGACCTGTGCAGGAGCAGCAGCAGCACTTCGCCAGGAGCCATCCTACACCGGAGCGGGCGGGATAGCCGCGCCTGCCCGCTTTCATGCTGCCTTCGGGCTGCTCATGGCAAGGAGCCACCGGCCCGCTCGCGAAAAACAACGAAAGAAATTATAATACTAAGACTAAAAAACAAGGCTCTGCAGAGAAAGAAGGCAGGAAGCTGTTGGCGAGCAGCGCGGCAGAGCCGCTGCCCGCGGCGCCGGCAGCCCCGGTCCCCCCGAGCCGGGCGCGCTCCTCGGGGGCGGCGCCTGCGGCGGGGGCGGCGGGGGCGGAGCGCGCCCGGCCCGGCCCGGCCGGGGAGGGGCGGGGGGGGCTGCGGCCGCACCGGGCTCCGCCAACGCTTGGAAAAAAAAAAACCCAAAAAAACAACAGTTTTCGGGAGGAAGAAATGCAGAACTGCGGTATCCGAGATGGGGAGCGAGAAATAAAAAGTGCCCGGGAGGAAGTTTGCTAAAGCTCTGATACGTTGCGGATGGGGGGTTCCACCAAAGCCTTTAAAAGGCAAAACTTGTATTGCCGTGGGGTTTTTTTAAACTTCACGATGTTCTTGGCTTCCCTCCCCGCCCCCAGTGCCATTCCTTAACTTAAGCATCTGACAGCTAAAACTCTCTACAACTGGCTGAAAATACTGCCCAGCCGGCGGTGATCCCAAGGGTTCTGCCTGCTTCCTGCAGCAGCAGAGCTGCCCGAAGCACTGCAGAGGGAATGCCTCCCCTTCTGACACCCGGACCCAGACACTCGAGATCCAGAGGCACAGCGTGCTTTGGAAGGTGCCAGCCTGTTGTGTTAGGATTTCCCACCTAAAGCACAGAAAATTGGAGGTGCCAAAAACATCCCGAACCTTGCTAGAGGCAGCTGGTAGGAGAGGTCGGGCAGGATTCCAGAGCAACAGCATCATAGTTTTGCACTCTTGCATCAAAAGCTGAACAAACCCAACAAGCTCCTTCTCCCAGGCAGACATAGGTATGAGAGGGAAGAGCAGAGGGGAGATGTGCCACGCTTTGTGCCACTCTGTGCCAGGGCTTCAGCTTGAGCAGGCACAGCTCTATTGTGCTGCTGATCTGGCCTAAGGCTTTTGGCAATGGCTTTGGGGTAAGTCCACTCCCAGGGGGGCAAAGGCCATGTCTGGACAGGAGGAGAGGGTTGGAGCCACGGCAGAGTGCTCACAAACCCACCTCAGGGTGCTCTTGCCCAGGGGCAGGCCTGCACTCAGTGATTCCATGGAACCATTGAGTGGGATCATGCAGACCCTAAGGACTCCTGGCAGAAAGACCCCAGTACCTGGTGCCAGGAGAGGGACAGAGGAGAAACTGAGAAACTCCCTCCACCACACTGGCAAATATGAAACCTTCCTGCTTCACTTCTGGCTGCTCTGCAGGAACTGTTCTTTGACTACAGCCGCATTGGAAGGACTGACAACCTTGTCACACGCCTGAAGCATGCACATTTTCTTGCCAATGCCCTTGAGCACCAAGGTGTTTTCAGTACACGAGAACAAAGGGCTCTGTAACCGTTTCCCATTTGCTGTGTGTTGTGTCTTTCTTTGACTTGGGTCTTTGCCTATCTGGGAGCTGCAAGGGAATGTCTCGAGGGTGCACTCAGGGCTCTTGTGCCTGTAGTGGGGAGATAATATGTCACACATGAAGCAGAAAGCCTAGCTGCAGCCAGAGAAGGAAAAGGTGGGCTGGGAACCAGCTGGGACACCTTCACCTTCTGCACCTCTCTCTGTGTTTGTCCCTGCCATGGTTCTCCAGGCAGCAGCTCAGCTCAAATCCTCTGAGTGATTCAGGAAACTTGCAGCAGGGCTTTTCTGAGGAAGCAGCTCCTCACTTCTCTGCTTTCTACTTTGAACTGCATCTCTCTTTTCTAACCCCCCCTTGCACAGCATGCCCACCTCTTGCCCCATGGGCCGGCTGCCCCCACCTGATCTCAGCCTTTGTGCTAACAGAAAAGGAGTAAGGTCTTCACTGGCATTTCACTGCTCATGTGGCATCTGCCCAGACCTGCAATACAGCACCTGAGGCAGGAGCAGGCCATACACAGAGCCTGATTTGCCAGATCCCAGCTCTTGGTTGGTTTTAAAAATCATCTTAAGAAAACCTTTAATATTCCTCATTTAAGAAACTGGGAAACAGCCTAATCTGTTCACCTCTAGCATTCCACCTCTAAATTCCCATGACTCCTGGAAGAGTTGTCCACCCTGAGGAGCCTTGTGGGTCTCTTCCAGCTCAGCATGTTCTGTGATTCTGTGTGAGCCTGGCATGCTGGGGGGAGCTTGGGGAGGCAGGGGGAACTGGGCTGATCAGAGCCATCAGCTGAGAGCCAGGGTGGTGGAAAACCATGGAGAGTGTGCCAGCAGAGGCACCACAATAACACTGCAAGGGAATGAGCTTCACTAAACCAGCACATGGGCATGGAGTTTGAGACTGTGAGGAGGGTTGGGAAGCAAGGTTGCAACTCTTGTAATTGCAGCCAAACTTTAAAACATAATTAAGGTGCAATTTCAGGTCTTTAAAAAACCTCCTTCCCTAATTAAAACAGAATTGAAGTAATTATTGTGGGAGGAAGCAGGCTCTGCCCCTCCCCACTCTACAGCTCCAGCAGTGTTGTGAAGATTATCTCTATAAAGTTGCCCTTTAGAAACATGAACATCCACACATAACCACTAATGAATGATACATGGAATAAATATTTCACAAAATAAGGCTGAAAGCCATATTCTTAATAACCACACCATATCAATTAGCTCCTATAAAGAAGAGGAGGAGACATGCTGTGGGCAGTCTAGTTCAGCTCCAGCCCTAGCTGGGAAAAACATCTGTCAGCAGCAGCAAATTGGCACTATGCTGCCAACTGCACTGATTCTTTAGCTTCAAGTAGGAAATTCAGCCTTTGGGATGTAGAAATATTGCAGACATTGTGTGGGGGATGGAAATTTGTACAGCCCACTTGCCCGAGGTGAAGGGCAAGGAGCTGCTTGTCTGGGACTAGAAGATTATCGGGCAGGATGAATTTATGTGTTGCTGTGGTCCCTGAATTATCAGCATGTCACCTGAGAAAGAAAAGATCCCTGTCCCTGCTCTAACCTATGGCTGAATCAAAGAATAAAGTCACAGAATGGTTTGGGTTGGAAGGGACCTTAAAGGTCATCTTATTTCAACCCTGCTGCCATAGGGAGGGGCACCTTACACTTGATCAGGTTGCTCAAAGTCCCATCCAGCCTGGCCTTGAACACTTGGCAGCCACAATGTCTCCAGGCAGTCTGTTCCCATGCCTCACCACCATCACAGCAAAGAATTTCTTCCCAACATCTAACTTAAATATCTCCTTTTTTTACTTTAAACCATTCCCCCTTGTCTTATCACTATCTGCCTGTGTAAAAAGGCACCCTCCCTCTTTGCTATAAACCCCCTTTACTGGAAGACTGAGTCACAGGAGTTCTTTAAGGAAACATCTCCTGGAAACACACTCTAAATGCTCCAATCATTACCTGCAGTGGAGTGAACAAGAGAATTTTATGGCCCTGGCTGGCTGCATCTGAAGCTAAGTCTATTAGCAGTGTGCCTGCACCATGGGCCATGCGTGCTGCCCTGCCCAACACCGATGATGAACGGGAACTCATCTCAATCCAATGTCAGGATGACAAGGAAAATACTTCTATCTGCTCTTAAACACTCCTTTAGAAATTCCCCAGGCATATGAGTTACTTCCATATGAAATCTGAGATGATCTGTAAAAAGTACTGTTGTTGTAGAGGGGAAATAAGTTCTAATAGTTTTACCCAGCTTTCCTGAGAAAAATTTGGGATGAAAGATGGAAAACAAATTTTTTCACTGCTTTCAGTGCTCCCTCACACCTTCAGCAGCAATTTTATTTTCTTAATTTATAAACTGAGGGACCTATCTGAGGGAAACAAAGGACAAAATAGCGAGGGGATGTAAACTGGCATGGCTTCATTTTGGGTCAACACAAATGCAGTGAAACACGTCTGGCCCAGATTGCCCTGGAGGTCTGTAATGCAGAACAGCAGTGACAATATTTCTCCCATAGTAACAGGTGCTGTTTCCTTCTCCCCATCACATGCACAGGGAGATGAATAATGTAATAGCTGTCAGGAGCATCTGTTCATTACTTATGCAAGTCAATCCTACATTGTGCTTTAGGGTGTAAAGTGATCTCTGCAGAAAATCCATCCCTATGGACATCACTATCACAGAATAAGATATACTATGGTTGATTTATTTTTTTAATCCAATGAAGCTTAAGTATTAGCTACTCCTTTCTTAGGGAGGAATAGCAAACCAACTATCTAACAGAAATAACTGATGGATGGCAAAAGGAAGATGGATTTGTACAGTTTCAAAAACATAATTTAAATATTTGGTGTGCCTTACAGTGTCAAATTCAGATAGTGCAAAGAGATGCATGAAATTTAGGTTTTGTTAATAGGGACATTTAGATACCTCTACAGAGCAGTTCAGAGGGTGCACTCAGGACATGGATGTTCTGAAAACCAGTGCAAACCACCAGGATTTAGCAGAACTTCTTTTTCGATTATGTCTTGCTTCATTTCATGGAGAAATCAGGACTTACATTGCAGCTTCAGGAGCCCAGTAGATGCTGATTTTATTACTCATTCTGTCACTTGCTTTCTGGGTGACTTTAGGGGAAAAAAATTACCATTTCATGCCTCAATTTTCCTATGTGAAATAAAAGGATATCAGCATTTCACATTCCCTTTAAAGTGGCCTGAAACAGAGATTAGGCATCCTACACTGAACAACAAGAAGGAGCTGTCATTGTTAGCCGTGTCTTGAAATGAGTGTGACAAAATATGTCTCTGGCACTACTGGCCTTTGGAATCAGTATTAAAAAGCACCTTGATCAATACATCTTGCCTGCAAATGCTACTTGCAAAACCAGGTAAATCTGAACAACTGGAGGGAAACAGATTGGCAGAGTGAAGCAGTCCTTGCTCAACCAGCACATTTCAGTACATTATTCTTGGCTCTGACTCCAGCTATTTTCAACAGCACTAAACATTCATTAGATTAAATCAAATGAACCATATTCTTTAAAAATAGCCAGAGCCTTGTTGTGCCAGTTGGAAAAAACAACAAGTTTATTGGGTACTAAAACAGATAAAATTAATTAAAAATAAATAAATAAATGGAGTCATATTCCCTCCTGGTGCAAGAGAGCACAACTCCAAGGAAAGGTTTTTGGCTCCTCAGTT